ATCCAAAAGATGTGAAGACATTTTAGTAAATCATGGTGGAGGAAAAGTCAAGGGAGTTAGTAAGATTCATCATCTGGGGAATTTACATTTCTGTATAAACTTTCATTGCAATCAATCCGATCGTTTGTGGGATATTAAAGTCCAGACCAAAGTGGTGGACCAACTAACAGACCAACAAGGCCATCCCTCAGAGCCAGTACGGCTAAAAAAACACTGTTTCTTGTTCTGAAGTGAGCTGACTACAACTTCAAGTATTAGACATTCTGTGAAACGCTTCTCCTTTTGCTTTTGGGTATTAGTTTTATGAACTTTGCCAACTATATTAAAGCATTTTTGGACTGATTGCAAACTGGCAGAAACATGTGAGTTACGCCGACTGACCCAGCAGCCACTAAATAACATATATAAATATATAATAATAAATATAATGGTGACACTTTGGTCTGTCACATTGAGCAGGTCGCTCCACAGTGAGTCTTTGTACTTACGTTGGTACCATCCAAACGTCAGTTACTTGTTTGATTCGCAATGTAATAAATCAAGGTTTGTTCTCAGCCTAGTGGTCGATTACATTACGTTTGTTTATTAAAGTTTTGTTAAATTAGCACGTTAAGCTGTTTTTTTTAATCTTTCAACCCCTCATCTGGTCAAGGTTCTTCTCCAGGTTGATGTGTTGTCTGCTTGCACATCCCTCATGATAATGGATGTTGGAGAGGAATGAAACTGACTGTGACTATGCCAAAGAGATGGAGCACAGATGAATAATCCTCTGGAAGTTCAGTCCTATTTCAACAGGCTCGAGTTGCCGAAGCAATCAAAGTTAGCCGAGCCGGGGGCAGTGTCCCATCAATAAAGTGGACAGGACTGTTACTCTCTGGGTGGTCACTTTCCTGAACACCCTTCATATCTCTCACGCTGTCTATCTTTTAAGTATCAAAGTCTCATCCCTTGTAGGCTTGAAATGTGGCTGTAAAAAGTTTGTAGTTTTGTCCTTGCTGCAGCCAGCTTGAATTATGTCAGTCACAATTGATTCCAAGTTTCCACAGCAAAATGTTTGTCATTATTCTCTGTAGTGTATGTTCCAGTCATAGTTTCACCAAAATATGCCTACACTGTTTTGTGTTACGCTATCACCTTTTTACCCAACGCACATACCAAACTGCTTGTTGTGTTATGTAACTCATTGCTTTTGTCCCACTTTACATTGAGATGTTACATGTTTACGTTGCACACAAATGCACAAATGATCACTATAGCAACATCAAGTGTCTTTTGGAAACAGTTTCCAGCGTCGTCTGTGCTACCACCAGCACGTTTTCCACATTTGGTCGTTCTGTACTTGCAGTATGTTTTCTAAATGCTGTGCATGTGCTGTCAAATTGATTAGGATGTCTTCTTACTTTGATTGTGTTTTTTCTATTTTCATGTTTCAGTGCCACCATAGATACCACTGTCATATCTGTGCGGTAGAAATGAAGCTTGAGTCAGCAGATAGTTGGCTTAGCTTAGCATTAACACTGAAAACAGGGGACACATTCGGTCCTCCTCTGGTAGCAGTGGAGTGGTTTGCAATTATCTGTTATACTTGGTCATTAATGGGTTCACCTGAAAGCCTTTCAGTTACTCTAGTATTGTAACAATCTTATGCTTCAATCACATTGCAGCTGCATTACTATCAATCCCGTTGCTATGATTGTAATATACGTGTAAAGTCTAACAACTTTAAAGCCAGCCTCTCCTCTTCATCCCATGTAATGCAGAAAACATCATTTGATGGACACTTGATTGATGAATGCGACGCTTTAATCACAGCTGTCTCATAGGTGTCATGGTGATGACACTGTGATCCCGCTGGAAGTATTTACTTCGCAACAAGCTGCTGTTATGACTTGTTGGTCCCCAAACTGTCCTCCTCAACAGTGCATCACTTTTTGTCCCCCTCACGGCTCGCCATGTAATCAATTTACTGGTACATTAATCTCTCCTCCTCCTGAGAAAACCTCTCTCTCTCTCTGTCTTCCCTTAGGTCTCTCTCCCCTGTTAATTCAGAAAGACCAGCACTCCAAATATAGAAAACCAAAGCAATCTCCAAGCATGTAAATGATGACACTTTCATCCATGATCACTAAACCATGCATCAACATCTGTGTGTGTGTGTGTGTGTGTGTGTGTGTGTGTGTGTGTGTGTGTGTGTGTGTGTGTGTGTGTGTTTCTGTTTGAGTGTAGGCTATTTATGTAAACATTCCTGCATGTGTGTGTGTGGGTGGTGGTGGTGGGGGGGTGATGCCTGACATGTGAATGTGTGTGGGTGTGTTCCTGTATCTCACGCTGAGCATTTCTTTTCTTATGTAAGATAAATAATTCAGGACTCCAGAGGCAGAGAGTAGAGAGGGAACATTCATGGAGAAAATGAAAGAGTCAAGAGCCCTGACTTTCTCCATGCATTGTCTTCCAGGGTGTACAAATGCTGCATTTCCTCTGGTGGCGCGTAAACCCCCAGCCATACTGCGACGCACATACACACAGATCAGCCCTCATCAGCTGTGTGCAGCCCAGACAGGAGATTGAGCTGCTGCATTTGCATTTTGCCCCAAAGTGCTTGGCACACAAACAGGATATCTTGTTAGTCCTTGTCTGTAACAAGGATAATAGATTACATTTTGCTAAAATATCGATATGTCCCCCAGGGCTGTTTCAAAACAACAACAACAAAAAAAACTGCAGGCTTAAGAGAAGAACATCCTGGACAACAGCAGCAGCATATGTTTTTGATATCTGAATTGCATGAATTCAATCTAAGCCAGCCACACAGATTCAACACTTTCTAGCAATAATTATGTTTTAGAACTCCTCTCCTGAGTGAATATTGGATTAGCTGTGTTTTCCCTATTGAGCAACTTACCACCCCAGGCATTCTGCTAACACTACACCACCCCCCTGCTTCTCTATCTCCTACATCCTCCCTGCAAGGTTTGCTGAGGTGGCCATTCATGTAGCGATGTTGCATCCTAAAGGAAAAAAAAACACAAGCTTACTTAAAATATCAAGCATTTCTCTCATTTGCCTGCAGCTTTTTCATCTCATCAAGAATGTTGTAATTGAAGTTAATTTAAAGTCTGATAACGCTGGTTTTGGCTAAAAAAAAACACTGCTGTGTGTGTGTGTGTGTGACCGTCTGTCAGCTCTTTGCAAGGAGGCTGTTGCCTTTTCACTGAAGTCATCTCAATCCCTGGTTGGTTAATTATTCTCAAATCTGCTTTTTTTTTGGAAAGGATAGGCAGGAAAGGAGATGCTCATTTAGAGACACCTCCAATCCACCTGACAGGGTGCAAAGTGGCCGACACCTGAGGGAGACAAGAATCCCTGTAATATTTGTCAAACGAGGTACGCACAATCAAAGACCTTTCCTTCTTTAAAAAGTGGTGGATCATTATGGCCTTTACAACAGCTAAATACTGTAGATCAGGGGTCTCCACCAGATGTTTTTCCCCTTGGATTTCTTGGTAAAATGTTAATTAAAAATTCATTAATTCAGGTGCCCCAGAATTCTTACAGTAGCCGCACTTCAATGCACAGATATACATTTGTGGCCCTGTGTTTATCCTATGTACTATCATTGGCTGACACACTTTCTATTTTACAAATCTTGCCGCTTGCATGTCAAAGTATTTCAAAAGATCACGTTTGGAAGCTGAAACACTGGAGCCATCGTGTAAGGGAAATTGTGCAGCAGGTTTTACAGGCTGTTTTGTGTATTCATGGTGAAACCTCTATCATATCGGAGGTAGAAAACATTGCTGTTGTGCTGTGTGATCAATATCGGCCTGACATGAACAAAGCCATGAATTGGTCTCACGCACAGGAAAGGAGGAAGAAAATAAAGACACGGAAAATAGAGTGATGGGGGAGGATGTGCTCAGACTAAAGGAGAGTGTATTGATCCTTGCTTCATGATTGACTGAGAGGCTGCCTGTCACTCTGGCAGCCAAAGACAAATGGAGCATCAGATGGGCAGCTTTGCGGCTGTGCTGACCGAGTGGAAAGAACCAAGCAACAAGAAAAACAAAAACAAAACAAAAACAGCCAAAAGGTTAAACCGTTTCTGGGGCAGGGGGATTCTAGCTAAGAGCAGTGCACCTCATTAAATACTCAGCGTAAGCCCTGTGGATTTCATTGATTGCTGGTGTCCAGCAATGCCTGAGCTTTATCCCGTGCGGCTTCCTCTGAAAGAGGCAAAATGAGCATGAGCCTGAAGCAGGGATGATTGTTTATGCATCTTGAGTCTATTTCTGACTGGAGATCTTAATGTGGGCTGGCCCGGGTGGCTAAAGTGGGTCATAGGGTGAAGCGGACATGAAAGGGCTGACACAAAGTGGAGTCATCCTTGCTGGGGGGCATCTCACTGCCTCGACTCGGGTATAGAAAACATCCACACACACACACACACACACACACACACACACACACACACACACAAAGCGACTGCATAACACCAACCCCCCTTTTTCTCCACCTCCCTCAGTTTTTGCTACCCCCACCTCTCTGTTTTGATTGCTGCCTCTGTCCATTTTTCTGTTGGCCTTGTGGAGCAGCATCAATGAGATTTCCATCTCCTACTTGCACCTTACTGCACACTGCGGATATTACATTTGCAGCTGGTCCAGAATCCTAAGATTCAGTCCACTGGCATCTCAATAAACACACACATTTGTGTCGCTAAGGCTAACCTTAACCCCCCCCCCACTACTAACCCCAATCCTACTTCCAAACCCAAACTCAAGCCCTGACCCTTCTAATCTTCTTAGAGAAGTAAGAAAAGGCAAAATGTCCTCACTTTGCTTATGTGTGTTATTCATTCTATCCTCAAGAGGACCTTAGAGTAATTGAAATATAACACACAGATGCTCAGGCACTGCAACAACAGGCTTTAGGACCCAGCGTGTCAGCCATAATATGGTAGCAGAGCTGAGGAAAGGCAAAAGGAAGAGGGAGAGAGACAGAGGAGGCGGAGGAGGAGAGAGAGGAGAGGGGGAGAGCTGTATTTGGAAAGTCAGAGAAAAGCTGAGAGTGGGAGAAGAAAGTTGACATCGTGTAAAGATGTGCTGCAACCGCAGCGAGGATTAATGAAAGACCTTCTCCTGTCTGTGAGGAGGAGAGAGAGCGAGCCGAGCAGGATGCGAGGGAGGCTGTGCAGGGGGAAGGGGTGTCTTTGACAAAGCATGCACATTACTGCTGCCAGGCTGCACAGGTGTGTTAGGCGCATCTGAGCGCATCCACAGCCGCATCAGCACAGCTCGACGGAGGGATGCCGTCAAGTTTGACTCATGCTCTGTAACACATCCCCTCTCTCACACAAACACGTGTAGGATAGGACACACACACACACATATATATATATATATATATATACACACACACACACACTTTATGCACATGCCCACGCTGAGAGCAAACCAGTGGATCGGTGTGTAACGGAATTCAGTGTTGTTGGATGGTTAAAACTGGGACGCTGGATTCTCCCGTTTCTCCTCGGAGGACTGGTCCTGAGGACAGGACAGGACGGATCCGAGTTTCCAGCGTAAAGGTGAGACAATATTTAAAGGAGCAGATACGAAACCTTGAGCAGTAAGAACAAAAGAAATGTCTGAATTGTGGTTTTCATGTAGGCTGATGTGTTTCATTAGTTAATACTGTATTTCTATAACAAATAACATGTTCCCTTTTCTCTGTTATCACCCCTTCCCCGTGTTTTTCCCTTTGTGAAACACCCTCAGGTTGACTTCTATATTAAAACAATATATTAAAAAATGCTTAATAATCAAGTAACTAATTAGAACTTGCATTGTTTTTCACTGTAAAATGTTTATATCAGTAATAATAACTTGCAAGCACACTAATATTTGCTCCTTTGCTGTCTTTTTACGGCATACCGCACTACTCTATTACTACTATTGTTAAATATTATAAATGTTAAAGAAGTGAAATTTGGCACACAGGTTTCCTGAAACACTCTGAAATATGTCGACAGCTCTTAATGTATAAATAATTCACACTCTTACTACTCCCAGAGCTACATGTTTCCACTTCAAACCTGCTGGATTTAGGAGATTGTTGCTTATTTTCTTTTATATATATATATATATATATATATATCTGTGAAAATCAATATTAATTTAATGAATATTATTTTTGAATAATGGAAAATGCATTAAATCATCAATATGGCAAATATTATACAGGCTTAAATATCCAGTGTTGTAACATTTTTGGAGGATCTAGTGGCAGAAATGGAATAAAACAATAGGCAGGTTTTCATTAATGAAAATTTACCAAGAATCTGTGTTTTTATTAGCTTACTATGAGTTTTTATCTACAGAGGGAGCGGGTCCTCTTCTACGGAGTCTGTCGGTATTTTCTTTATATTATAGCTCTGCTAGCCCTGAACGGACAAACCGAACACTGGCGAGTTGCGCTGTCACTGTAGTTTCTCCTACATGCTTGGAAGGTGAGCAGTACTCACTTTGTTGCAATCTGCAACTCCACCACTAGATGGCACTAAATCCTGCACACAGGTCCTTTTAAGTAATAATAAGGAAGCAGTTAGGCTAAACCTTTTTGGATAATAACTTATGAACCGTGAGCTGTTGACAAAAGATTCTTGGAATAGAGGTTCCTCTTTCATACTGAAATATGAAGCCATAAAACGCTTAATGTGTACGTTTTTTCACACTCTTCAACTAGAAGCATGTTTTGACTTTTCCTGTCCGCAGTAATTTGTCACAGTAGGTGTTGCATGTTAAGTCAATCTATGTTTGGACATGAAATCTTTCAATTATTGATTCATTGCTAATATTTGAGAAAGGTGATTTATTATTTATGATAATGTTTCTGATGTTAGTAATCTATATCTGTTTCTGTTGTGAGTGAGACAAATTTCATATTACAGTAATATTATTAGAGCTCTCCAGTTTTCATTGTTAATCAAACTGAAAATTAGTTTTCTCTGTGCATATTTATGAAGATGTACAATAGAGGATATGTTGTTTTGTAGTAGAACCCCAACAGCAGCAGCAGCAGCAGAGCCACCCTCCTTTACAAACACACACAGCTCTGCTCTATTGTTCGTGTATTTACTGCCGTACGACGAGCCTGGTGTGCAGTAATATAAAACCGAAGCACACTCGTGCAGCATTCCTGAAGACCTCAGACAACCTGACACACCCGTGTCCCCTAACACATTTATATCTTTTGTTCAGGCAGAAAATGTGAAATCTTTTATCCTGTTGCCAGAATCTAATTTGGGAGATCACATAGCCTGGAAACTAAAACAGGGTAAAGTGTGAAGAAAAGGCTAGTCTAAGTGCTCTCAAAGGACACACGGGGTGTTTTGCTTGACAGCGTTCCTGATTAAGAGCAGGTATTTTCTCTGCTCTTAACCTGACTGTGCTCTGAGTGTGTGTGTGTGTGTGTGTGTGTGTGTGTGTGTGTGTGTGTGTGTAGGTCATTGTCAATTAGAGGCCAACAAATACGCCCTCCCTCTGTGATGATGATGATGATGAGACCATGTAATACATCATCGCTCATGTAAAGATCTGTGAGAGGCTAATTACCTCATTCAGGCTCATTGTTCCACGTGTAAACTAACACACACTTGTTTTGGTTTCTTTTGAGGACGTTGAATTGATTCGTGTTTGTTTCCTAAAGGCTCACCATGACCTTAACCGTAGCTGCTACATAACTAAATAAATCCTTAATTCATTTAATTTAACTTAAGTATAATTGTAAGCTTAACTAATCCTAAAACTTTAATGGTTTACCTTGTGTGGAATAGTTTTATTTCCCTAGATTGAAGATGACAATGTGTGTGAACAGATTTCTGTCACCACATTAAAATTAACATTACCACACACTCTCTCTCACATCCACACACACACACAAAGATAAACACAGGCACATACATTTTTAAGATATCAAGGTCAATTTAAAAGTATGTACATTTTGTTGAATGTCCATGTGAACTTTCATGCCTTTTATTTATGGTGGAGAGCAGAGGATGAGTTGAGGAGTGTCACAGCCTGAGGAAAGAAGCTGTTCTGAAGTCTGGTAGTATGACAGTGGATACTTCTGTATCGATTGCCAGACGTCGCCAGGGTGAACAAGCTGTGGCTGGGGTGGGTGCTGTCTGTTTGTATCCTTTGGGCTCTGCGCAGGCACCTCACCTCACCGATATCACTGATGCTCGGTAGGTGGGTGCCAATCATGTTCTGGATGGTTTTAATCACCCACTACAAAGCTCTCCTGTCCTGGCCTGTTAACAAGAACTTGGCACAGGAATTTTGTCGTCTTAAGTTTCCTTAAGGAATACGGTGGATATGTGTGTCTCTGTAATGCTGATTCCCTGTTCATTTGCTCCACCTCAGCTCCACTGATGTAAACAGGGCTGTGTGCCTTTGCCTCCATTTCCCTAAAGGTTCTCTGTGCACCTCTGCAAGATTGTTAATTTCCTCCCGATACGAAGTGACAATGATGGTGGTCTCCACCGCGAACAACACAACAGAGTTGTCTCCATGTCGGGGGGATGGGTGTACATGCATGAACAGGAGGAGGCTGAGCGCACAGGCCTGAGGGGCGTTGAGCACTAGAGGGGAGGTGGTGTGATCGTTTGTGTCCATTTGTGAGGAAGTCCAATTTCCAGTTGGTACCCAAACCCAGAGTACTCATCATGGGGGGAAACAGCATTCTCATGTTGGTGTTTTTATTTTCAAAGTGTGTGAAAACTGCGTGGATGGTATCTTCTGGCGATCTGTTGTGCAAACTGGTGAGGGTCCAGGTTGGCAGGGATTTTATTCTTTATGTGCAGAACCAGTTTCTTAAAGCAGAATAGGAGGTGAGTCCCACAGTGGGGGTAGTTGTTCAGACTAAATACTGGTGACAAGAAATCATCTTAGGCTTTAGATAGGGCCCTCACCTCTCCATTCATCCAGACTTTCTGGTCAGGGAATGATTTTATTGTCTTTGTGATCACATCATCGACACATTCGCTGGCGTATGATCTCACTGGTGGTGTATTTTCCTCCAGATTGATGTGGTTCTCCTGGGTGGCAGCCTCTTTAAACATGTGCCAATCTGTGCACTCAAAACGGTCCTGTAGAGCTGCTGTAGCTTCGTCTGTCTACATTAATTGTTTTTTTTCCTGATGGTTTTGACCCTTTAATCAGCTGGGCGCTAGTTGGCAGGAAAAGCAGGGAAATGTGGGCTGATTGTCCAAAGTGTGTGTGTGTGTGGGGGGGGGGGCTTTGTAGCTGACAGGAATGTTAATGCTACCATGGTCCGGGGTATTTGTTCTCCAGGTGGGGATGTGGACGTGCTAGTGGAATTTAGGTAAAACAGTGCTGAGATCTGTTTGAGTAAAGTCACCGGCTACAATAATAATGCAGTCTGGTTGTTTTGTCGTGTGACTGCTGACGACCTCAAGCAGTTCCTGTAGTGCGTCTTCTATGTTTTACATCTTAACATTAAAAATTCAACATTGGGGAAACGTCCATCAACTTTGACTGTGTTTGAGCACCGAGCATCATTACACTGATTGCAGTGACGGCTAATGTAAACACAGGTGGCATCTGCAGCCTGTTAAGCCACTGTTAAGCATTGTGACGGTTTTGCTAATCATGTCAGTGTTTGACAAATTACTACAATTAAACTGATAATAGGCTGGTCATTTTAATTAGGCTTTTTTTTTTTTAATGATGTTTATTGTATACATTTAATTTCCCATTTCCATTACTGGGAACTTCTGTACAGCTTGGTATAGAGTGTGTTATTTGTTATTGGGAATGTACGAGTGAATTCAACAAGCTTTTAAGTAACCTTATCTTACATGGTCAGTTTTGTGTTTTTACACAGTAACATCCATGTACATCGAGTGGCAGCAGCTGTGGAAGACACTGAAGCACATGCACAAACACTCATACAAACAAACACACCCACACACAAATGAATACACAAACAACGTAACATTGTGGGATATAGCCAGTCCCTGTACAGTGTGTCCCATGTGTGTTCACAGATGCCCATTACAGAACACTGAGTACAACATACAACACACTCTGCAGAGATGCTGGAGCCATTTGCAACATATTGCACATTCCCATTCCTCAAGCCTCATTGCACACAAGCACCAGCTGTGCGAATAGTGTGTGTGTGTGTGTGTATGTGTGTGTGTGTAGTTATATATGTGAGCATGTAGGAGGCAGAGCATTGAGAGCTTCATAAGGCTTTTTTCTTTTACTGTTTTATGTGTGTGAAAGGGCAAGCTGATGTAAGGTTGCAAAGGACTACACGCATTGCGAGTGTATGTGCAGTTATGTAAAGGAAATGAAATTACTGTGTGTGTGTGTGTGTGTGTGTGTGTGTGTGTGTGTGTGTCTGGGGTTAGAATAGGGCATACTGTGGACTGATTAATGAGCTCACACTGTCATACACATATTCTGCACAGGGGGGTTCAAGTAAACCCAGCGCCCGGCGTGGCTGCGCTCATTTGTTATTATAGAGTAATTCTGTGGAAATTATCCATCCTTTGCCGTCTAATGTGACAGTAACACATCCTTACTGGAAGGCACGGCAACGCTGGAATTATCCCATCCAGTTATTATCAAGCCGAGCAGAGGAACTGTACTGAAATCGCAAATTAGCCTCTGCTTCATTTATCCTGCAGTGAGCACTCCACTCCATGGTGAATTTGTTTCCATAGGAACATGATGTTACTTTGGGCTTCACGAGCTGTACAACCCGCTCTACGTTGCCGCCTGTGTTTTGCTATCTTTTCTGTTCAGTTTCCTCTCTGCTCTTGTCAGTCACTCCACACCGACAAGGAGAGAGAGAGAGAGAGAGAGAGAGAGAGAGAGAGAGAGAGAGAGAGAGAGAGTGTGAGAAAAGGGTTTGGAAATGAAATCAATAGGGCCATTTAACTGCCACTTGGGCTTTCAGATTTTTGTTTGGCATTTCTCGAAGCCTGCTCTGGTCTTATCAGCCTGACATCTCTGATCTTCACGATGTCTTTTTATTAGAGCCTGCAGGCGTTTACAGCTCCAATTTCCTATAGCCACTATGCCATTTCTTTTCTACAAGCGTGTTCACTGTATCTGCATCTCCTCAATCTGTATCAGCTGAAATATTACAGCAATTACTTCCAGCCCTGCCGAGTGTGTGCTGAGAGACAGAGAGTCAGTGTGTTTCAAAAAGACTGCAGAGTTGCTGAAAATCTATGTAAGAGTCAGCAGCAACAGTTCTCTGCTTTTGCAACAGGGGTTTAAAGCAATATTTCACTTTGGTTGCACATTTCCATGACTTAAGAACAAGATTTCTTTTCTGCAGCAAGGAGAAATTGTACCAAGACAGACAAGTTTTAAGTTTTGTACAGTGACTTTGCTGAAAGTATTGGCTGGATTATGAAAAAGGGAGGGAGTCAGATCAAAAGCAAAAGAAGAGGGCTAGAAGTAATGACGGGAGCCAAGGAAATGTGTGGCTGTGTATGTGTATGGCAAAGCACCAGACTAAAAAGGAGAGAGATAGCGAGAAGAGGATCTCTTGTAAAAGTGTTGGTGGTGATTTGCAGCAGCGTCCTTGCAATCTTCCCTCTACCTGACTGGATGTTTTATGAGCGTTGCAGAATCAGAAAAGGAGGCAGGCTTATAATACAGCTGACAGAAGTCTTTTTATGGTGGATGGGCAGAGGTGCAGGGGGGGGGGGGGGGTGTAATAAAGCTGAGTGCATCTCTCCTGGAATGAAGCTGCACCGATCGGGAGGGGGCCGAAGAGAGAGGAAGTGCTACAAATATTAGTGTGTGAGTGAGCGCAAGTGCATGTGTGCAGTATGCACCATATGTCCAGATACGTGTGGGTGCGTGTGACGAGGGGGAGGCAGTTTGCTCGGAGCCGTTACTGACGTCAGCGTGTTGAACGATCACTCAGCTTGTTCAGTATGAGAGACACTAACCCTCCATAAAGGGGTTTGTGAAGAGGAGGAAGAGTGGAGGGGGTTTGCATGGCGAAGCAGTATCAGCGCACAGAGCAGAATGCAGCCCTCAGCACCACGCCAGCCCATAGACACCCAATTATTCCAGGGTTTTTTTTCTGTGCTGTGCAGTGAAGGGTGCAACAACGACTCACTGAATTGATCTCAAGCCTGTGAAGCACTCTGCCATGCAGAATGAATACTTACTGATGAGATATTATGTAGTTTGTTGAAATGACACTTTCTTTCTACTGGGGATGAAAAGACCCTTAACACACAATACAGAAACCTTTTTCATCTCTTCTCACATGTCGGCTCACGGTAGCATTTCTCCAACACTCAGTTTTGTGCTAATTTTAGATATTTTAGTTAACACCACTATGTGATGTTTTAAGTCACTTATCACTTCCATGTTATGGGGCAATCAGGGGCGTATATCCAAGCATCCATCCATTTTCTAAGCGGCTTATCCTGTGCAGGGCCGTTGGCGGCTGGAGCCTATCCCAGTATGCATTAGGTGAGAGGCAGGGTACACCATGGATAGATCAACATTGTTAACACATACAGTGTATGTTAACACTAGCTGGCTACATTTAAAAACATCATTTACATGCAAAAATGACATGTATCCACACTAATGTATGCAGGTAATTTTTAAAAAGATCTCCATTAACACTACAGTGCAGAGAAAAATGGTTAAATTTCTTCTTTTTCATACTGACAACTGTCTTAAAATAAACTAAAACATGAAAATAACTTAAGATTTTGATTCATAAATACGACATGTTAACCAGGTAAATAGTATTTGCTGCTGCACTGATCAAATCAATATGTTAGGATTGCGAAGTGGTCACAAAATAACACATAAACACAGCTTAACGACAACAGCTGTGTTATGTGATTGGTTATATTGACACTGAAAATGAGTGATCACAGAGAAAGTTAGAGGTGACGCACAAGGTTTACTGCCACAGCAGCCCCTGAACGTGTCTGGTTCTGCTTACGTCAGAGCTTGACAAGGCTCCATCTTGATTGTTTGTTTGCGTTTTAGTGTCTGCGCTAAATCTAAATGTTAACGTTTTCAGATTTATACACTAAAATCACAGGGAAGGGAAGCTTTTCAAGTAAGAAAGGCCAGCTTAGTGTTCGATGATGGACCGAAACGGAGAGGAAAAGGTGCATTTTCAAACGTAGCCTGCCTAGTGTGGACTCACTATTGCACTTACACTAATCAGCAACTGCAGACCATTGACATCAAGCCATTTTCCACTTTAAACGTAAGAAATGCATATTTGGCTCTTACTGACATGGTTCCTAAGCAACTAGAATGTAGGAAAAAAATAAAATGACATGTTCAGGGTCCATTTTCCATTATACAGAAGGCATCTGTCAATTTAAAAAGCTGTAAATTGTACCCTGGCTACCTCTGCAGTTCACTGGAGGTTTACATTTGAGGTATCATTAATGCTCAGGCCATTTTCAGCACCACAGTAACTATGCAAGAATGTTCAGAATTACAATGTGTCTCCGTTTCCAGTGTCCCTGTATTGAGCTACAAGCATGTGTATCCATCAGAGATACGGAGCTGAGTTAGTAGTTTTCTCAAACACCCAGGGACCTCTGAAACACACCTCAGGTACATTAACACCAACTACTACACTGTACATTATTATTTTGTACCTTGTATTCAGGGTTATAATAAAAAAGTGACTGAAATTACATTGTGTGACTAAAATAAAATAAGAAATGTACAAGGTTTTGTCAATTTGGTCAAATTTCTCAACAGAAAAAGCACAAGGAGACTTTGATGCATCATGGGTAGATACGAATAGTATTCCCATTAAAAAAAGGATTTATCATTAGAGCCCCATTCTGTTTTTAATGTGCAGCGAGCAAGTGAACTCCAGTGGCAGCAGAGTTAACATTTCACATACTGGAGGACAGTACAATGAGGCTGGTTGTCTGTTTACTTGTATTAATAATGTTGTGGGGACCCGCCTTCCCTCTGGGGTAAAAAAGCTGGTTCTCATTAGGTTAATGTTAATTTCTGGAGAAACACTTCTGAGAGACGTGCATCAACATGCAACCCCCAGCAAGTCAGTTGTTTTGTTTTCTTCTCAGGTGCGTTAACAGAAGCATAATCTCCATAGGCAGCCTTTCAAATCACACTAATCTGCTACTGTATATGAATTTATTAACTATATCTGCAGACAGCTGGTCCTGAGGACAATGACGCTGTGACGAAGGTCAGTGTTGGTGTGGACTGAATGGACAGACACTTCAGTAGCGCTTACGCTACACTGACGTCTTGTGTGTGGTGTGAATTTGGGGTCGGGGTTCGGTTTAGCAGTATAACCCCAGTAGTGTGTGTATGTGTGTGTGAAGAAAAATGACTCTGGTCCAAAGTGAAGCCTTGGAAGCTGTAAAGTCAAAATATTTTGTGTGACCTTGTCCTTCTCTTAACAGACCGGTACATCCTCATCGGAGAACTGGATAGAGAGCTGCCCAACTCTTCGTCTATCCTGAATGAAAGCCTCTTAAGGTGGACGGGGTACATTAAAAATACATGTCCCAAAGGAGCGTTGACGTGACAAGCAGCAGACCCGCGGCCATAAATCAACACCAGAGGACTTTGATTTCTTCATTATCACTTCCTGCGGCAACAACAGAGGAACAGGCGTGTTGGCAGGCCTGCTGACCTGCGGATGTGCACCGTAGGATTCTATTTCTGGAGCCTCATTGCTTTTACAGATTAACTGCCCTCAAATATGGCCCCAATCCGTTCATTGCGCCACTAGTTTGACTGCTGCTGGAGGTTGTGCATATAAGCTTCAAAACAACCCACTGTGCGTCAGTCTAGTCATTTGAAGGCCCGCTGCCTTTGGCCTGTTTTTTTTTTTAAAAGCAGTATCAGTGCTCTTTTTTTTTCGGACTCCTGCAGAGGAACAAACCTGCAGCTGCATGTCATGACAGCTTGAAAGTCATTTTTGTTGTTCTCCTTACAATCATTTCTCCACTTACTCAAGTCATTGTCATTTCCATCCAGGGAAAGATTGACGTCCAATGCTTTCGCGTTAAAAACAACACCCTGCTCAGATTAAGACTTCATATTTATTGCAAGAGATCCTGAGGGCAAATCACACTGAAATCACTTTGCCCAGTATTTTCATTAGAGTGTCTGGGGCTAATCAAGGTCTTCCATCATCAGAATTGACATTTCCATATTGTATGAGGGAGAAGTAGCCAACATTAGCATATTCATGAACACTGACACACTCAATCATGTGAAATGGAAGACATGGGGCAAACTCTGAGCCATCAAGCCCTGAAACAAATAGCTTATGACATGTGAGGAGAAGAGGATCTTGAATCCCTCCGCGCAACTTCACCACATCACATAGCACACAGGAGAAAGCTACCACTGGCACATTAAGGTTACTTCATAAACCTGCCGTGTGTTGTTGGCCTCTGGACCAAGGCCTGTAATAAGAGAAAAATTAAAGAATAGGATTAAAGATGGATTATCACCGAAACACTAAAGCCAGCAAAGCAGCTGCCTTTGCATAAACCCATCGGACACTCTTCAGGGAGAGCGATTTGTAGATTACATTTGGTTGTTGATGCTGTGGCCTCTTGTGTGGCTGGTATTAAAAGAGAGGCATGGATAATCTAGATGATCTGGAGCACCCTCTTCTGGGGGAAAGCCCCAATAACAGCCGGGCATCAGTGCAGGGACCAGGGCACGGGACTGGACAGGCCCCTGGCGGGCTGTTCAAGGGCATCTTGGTTAAGTGCGAGGAGGACAGGGCCTACCCTCCTTTAGCGTGGAGGAGCTATTGTGGACATCCTCCTGAACTTCAGCAGCAGCAGCTACTGGACCCTTGCTCCTTACCTCGCACACTGGAGTCCTTTTACCCACCAGCCCCCATCTGGGGCCACGCAGACCCCCTGCTCAGCAAAGACTACCTGGAGACCACCTTTATGGACATTCGGCCTGGGTCCACACTGGAGAGGAAGCTGCTGGCCGAGACACAGGACTATAACAGTGTGTCCTACAGCATGGATGATGAGGACGACCTGCTTCCCGACTCTGACGTAAGACATGCCACTGAAGTGATGTTGAGGGAGTTTGTTCAATCAATCATTCATTTAAAACTAAATAATGACAGTTACAGACAAGCAGTGTAACTTATTCCCTCTCAGCAGATGCTCAAGGGAAATACCAGTAACACATAAATAGGGCTGAAAATGAATTGTCTTGTCTATTAAATGTCAGAAAATAGCAATAAAAGTCTAATGTATAATGTCCCACAGTCTAAAGGGACTTTAAGGGATCTTCAAATGTCCCTTTTTGTCCAACTAACAGTCCAAACCCAAATTATATTTAATTTACCTGACCGTTTACCTTGAAACGACGAATCGATGATCAAAATAGCTGCAGATTAGATTGAATTGTTTCATCTCTACACATAAATAATCATAATACCTGATCATCTAATTTCTACCACATCCCCTTTGTTGCTCAGAGAGAGACGCATACTCTCAGTACAGATTCTGGGAGCCAAAGAGGTACTTAAAATAGACATATGAGCAATGCATTTCAGGGTAGGCAGCAATTGAATGCTTACTGTCAAAAAGCCAGATTACATAAAGCTCCTCTCCTGCTGCGGTGCAGGTAATGACACTACAGTTGCAATGGAGGATGCCAGTTCTATTTCATAGATCACTGAGCAAAGCCCACCCTGGACTGAAATGTAAATTAGCTTTAAGACTCTTACAGTGGTCATGTGATGTTTTGGGAGTCAGCATGAGAATGTATATGCTGCCGGGTGTTTAAATTATTATGAAAAGTCTCTCAGCAAGGTTAAATCAAAAGGGCTAATTACCCACTGTGAACTAAAAAGGCTGAAGGCCGTTTTACAATTATTACTTTAATGAAGAACACCAGCAAGAGGACAAACATGCAGTAGTACCACACACCATTAAAATCCAGAGTAGTTGGCTGCCGCAAAGTTTAGGTAGTTTGCTCCACAAGGACAAAAGGACAGCACACGAAATAACTTTTTTTTTAAAAGCTCATTCTGAATGCTGGCAGTAGTGCAGCGATGCAAAGGCGCAGGCCTGTGGGAATAAAACCTTGTAGTGACCTCAAAGAGGCACAACACAACATCTCCTCCTTTGTTTTACGTCAGACGCTTAGCTAATGGACTCAAACTGGCCCACAAACCTCCTTCATCGCCTAATGCTCGAATTTTCACTGTGGAGCTGATCAATATGATACCAGAGCAGGAGAGATGACCTTAGGAGTGTCCCGTCCTGAGTTACTTTAGACGTGAGCGTGGTGTCTATCTGGCTTTCCTGGTTCATTTTGAGATATTTGTCCTTATGGTCTTCATCATAACTGCGTCATGTCAACAAAAAAAACCCAGGGCGGTCACTTCTGAGAGTAATACCACACAGGACAAACCAATCCTAACATCAGACCAACAGAACCACCATGTGGAGTAAATGACATCAGACAAACTGAAATAACCTTGTGAACTAATCTTTAAAGTACTGTGTGTAATAATGCACTCTGATTTGTCCTTGTTTGATCCTCTTTAATGTTTAAAAGCAGAGGGAAGAAAAGCGTTTTTTTTTTTTTAAAGGGGGGCTGGTATACAAAGCGTTACAGGAGCATCTTTGGAAAAATGCACAATTATTTCACGCACAAAATAAAACAAGAAATATGGCAGGGTCAGAGTGAGAGAGGAAGTCAGATTGAATATGCAGCTGTTTTCAAAAAGATGCATGAGTCATGAATCGCCTGCGGTCAGCAAAGCTAGTGCACATCCAGACTAACCCCATTCAGTCACATTATCTTACAGGCACCAGCAAAGTTTTACAGTTGTTGTGGAGGACATGAATACAACATAACAAAAGAGCTATTTTAAGGGTTCCATAAAACAGCAAATTATGTTAAAACATGCATGTTTAATGCAACTTTTCAAATGAATAATACTCAATATTGTCTAAAGGGTCACTTCACTTAAAGTATGCACATAGTTGTGGTTTTTACTTAGGTTTTAGTTAAGATGTTTGCCACTGCCTCAATAAAACTGACAAAACCAAGTGGACAAACATACAGCAGTGCTATATACCACTGCTGTTCACCACAAAGTTAAAGTTAAAGTAATATAATATATTTTTGGAGTGACATTGCTGTGAAATTCAGTTCACTTCATCTCCATTGCATTGATGTAGAGGCAAATATCTCAAAACCTGGGCAAACAAAACCAAAACTATCTGCAAGAAGAGATGCCATTGGATGCTTTATTTGTACCTTTTATCCTGAACTCAACCTAAGTGCACTCTGTTTGAATCCCAGGACTCATCAATTGATGACTTCAGTGATACAGACAGCGAGAGCAACTTCCCTCTGATGATCCCTCAGGACTACCTGGGTCTGGCCTTTTTCTCCATGCTCTGCTGCTTCTGGCCCCTGGGCATCGCTGCCTTCTACCTTTCACAGAAGGTACAACACACACACACACACACACACACACACACACACACACACACTCAGTCCTGAGCTGACAAGATACAACATGGCACAGCCAATGGGTGATTTCTTACCCTCTGCACTGTGTGGAGAGTAACAACAGGTCCAGTGTCTTAGAGTTTAGACAGGGAGGGATTACACCTAGATTTGCAGGATTACACCACAAGGGCTCTGAAACAGCAGAGCTCAACAATACAAAGGAGGAATGTAAAATGATGTGCAGTGTGGTTTTATACATTCAGATCATTTTAGAATCACAAAATCTCTTGTAACAGTCTCTTGTGCCATCATGTGTACAGACGTTTGATTGAGATGTCCAAAAAAAAAAACACAAATCAATGACCAAATGATTTATTATGTGTCATCTTCAATCTATTAAACTTACTTATATCAGTGTCATGACTCCTTAAAGACAACTGGATGTTTACAGCCCTCCCATCACAGGCTTTGGGGTTATTGAGGTTGACAGGCTGTAAACTTTAATCAGTATTTCAAAGTAAATACAAATCAGGAACAAGTTTGTGCAGCAGATTTAGTGACACCCCAAAATAATTGCTTGATCCCACTGATCTATACACCTGCCGACTGATGTAAACTACAGAATACTGGGAAAGATACTGTTAATAACAAACAATTATACCAATAAAAAAGCACAGTGTCTGTCCTGAAACCATATCTATTAAGAGTGTAAGAAATTATCGATACACCTGAGCATCACGATACTTTGCTCTGCGATATTATATTGATTTTTGTGGTTAAAGCCCCAACCTATGAATAACAGCGCATATGATGGTGTGTTCTTTTTACTCTGGCAGTTTTCCTAGAATTAGGAATTGCCTCGCATACAGCATCACAATATATCGCAATATATTCAATCATAACCCTTGTATTGTGATACATATCATATCGCCAGATCTTCCCAATACACAACCCTAATATCTATACTATCATGTATATAATGGCCCAATTTCCAGTGCCAGCTGATATATTTTCCATCATATGCTACTGTGGCAAGGAATCTAACAAGCCAACACACACAAAAATCAATATACCAGCAAACATGCTGCTGCGTTCAAACACTGTGTCAGCATGCCACCAATATAAACATCTGTCTCTCTCTCTCCTCTACAAAAGCTGTGGGCTTGACGACAACAGATACTCACAAAAAGAAAGCTGTGATAAGATACTGTAACTACAGCACATTAAAAGTGTTCCTATGAAGATGTAACAGTTCATTTGATAGATGATACGGTCATTCTCTTTTAAGACAAAGTTGGAGGAAATATGGAGCAGGTCAAAATGGAAAAAGGACGACCAACACAGCACGAACTATCTCATCAGTCACTATTACCACTGGCAGTGTTGAAAATCCCCTAACACCTCTATCTCTAGTCGCCAGAGGGCCCTAGTTTATATAGGCATCCTTCCAGCGGTGCAGGGGGAAAAAAATCCCATTAACGCTTTTGCAAAGCTAACTGGCAGCAAGCTGCAAAGGCCTTTTGATCAGATCAATGGCCTTCATTAAGGTTTAATTAGAGTCATAACAAGAAGCCCCAAGGTGATAGATTTCCAATATTGTTGAGTGCTACCTAAAACAGGGGTCAGAGTCAAAGACAAGGACTAGAGGGAGAGAGGAAGGAAGAAGGAGAAAGTGATGAATGAGGCACAAACGGCGGGTGTGATTCAGAGATGGAACATAATATGAGCTTAGTGTGTGATTGGAATGAGTGCAAGTGGAAAGTGGAGGCCAAGGAGGACATTGACAAATTATGACGAATGCCCTTCTCTCCTCTTTTTTCCCCTCTCTAATCCTTATCTCACTCTCCTCTCTCCTCCGTTTCTCAGACCAACAAGGCATCGGCTCAGGGGGATTTCCAGGGGGCCAACGCAGCGTCTCGCCAGGCTCTGTGGCTCTCAGTGCTCTCCATTGTGTTTGGAATCATAACGTACATCTGTGCCATCGCCGCGTTGATTTCCTACCTGTCCGGAAAACCACCATAAAAGCAACTCTTTCGCAAAGGATACACACACACACACACACACCCACACACACACACAAAAAAACAAAGAACACAGACACAGTTCATTAATCCCAACACATGCCAACATATCACCTGTAAATGTAAAAATGATCACAGTCTTTGTCTGTCAACCCTGTCTGCAGTCACGTTTTATCTACACACCAAGTACAGCAGAGAAGAGAGAGTGAAAACACAAAAGGAGAGCTGGTGTATAGATCACAATCACTTCTAATTGGATTAGGACATGATTCAGCTCGGAGGACATTCCTCGCATGTGAACAAAAAAAATAATTGAAAACGAAAGTATCACTCCATATAGAAGATTAAGTCTGTAAATGTGATTTATTCTGTCACCCGAGGACTTAAGTTACCCGCCATCTTTTAAATCTGTGCTGTAGTCGTCATCACATTAACCATTTCATGTAGTAAAAAAGAAGAAAAAACTGTGACAAACAAAATGCAGATGTTAACTCAACACTGCAGATATCACTGTCACAAGAACAACGGATGAATAATGAGAAGCAGAAACAGAAGATATGTGGCCTCGTCTGCCTCGGAGGGCGGAAAACAACGAGTCGGCAGATTTATGAGAAGGTCACAGCAAGGACGTCGCAGCGGCGAAATCCTGATGGACCTCGCTTTGTCGGAGGGCCTGAGCCAGCACTGTGGCTCGTGGGGTGAAAGCTGGTGATGGTTTCAGAGCCCCAGAGCTTTATTTAAAAAAAAAACATATATGAGGGGCCAGAAGCCATAACCCAGAATTCCTTGCTACTCCTCCTCACAGGGAAACACTGCACATGTACATTAATCAACCCAACTTGATTTCAGCTTCACTCATTGTTTACCTGCAGAAAAGACTGTTTCTGCTTCGTTTATGCCAAGTTGAATAAGTATCTTTATGTTGAAATACACACACAAAAAAAAAGGTGAATAAAAATACATTAGTGCCATTATATAAGGAAATAAATATAAAAGATTAGGAGTTCGGGAGTTTTCGAATGAAACGCAAGGTCGTGATGTGAAACACTGGCTCTAGATATAGAAATAAAAGGAGCTGCTTCTATTAACAGTGATAGGAAATGATGACACAGACAGAGGGGGTGCAAGGAAAAGTGCCAAAAATACAGAAGAAACTCTTAAGGATGATCCTTTTATGAGCTATTCCATTAATAGAAGCAACCAGGCTGCCACTCCACGCTCCCCAAATATAGATTCTGCTATTTTCTCCTCCAGAACGAGGACTGAAATCCTGCAGGAGCTTGCTTCTTGCACAGTGTGACAAACTGTTGGAAGTCGTCTACCTAAACATATGTAAACACGCCCTTTGTTCAGATGAGCAAACGGGTAAAAAATAGTCTAAGGAAAACATCTAGTGCTCAGCCACGTGATGCATGAGTCAGTAAAATCTCTATTTTGGTCTCAACGGAAACCTGCATGGCGAGTTTTGTAGTTTGTCATGTACAAACCTGCTCCAAGCTTCAATCACTTCCTTTATTTGATCCTGAATTATTGCATAAACTGGCTTTGATGAAAGAAAAACAACTCTGGCCATATTGGTTTGAGCTTAAACGTGCCATTAATAAAACTGTGAACAAGGGAACTCCAATTAAATATTTTAAAAAATGACTGTAGGGTGAAAGTTGATATTTTCTATTTAGATGTATAGTTTTTATAGAGTCAACAGCTGAACTACAAATAACTCAAATACTTTTTGTTTTCTGCAAACCCAGTGTTGTATCAAGCTGATAATAGATTATGGTCACTGTATGTGGTATTTGTGGACACACCTGTGATATCTCGGTGTCTAACCCTCGTCAGCTATCACTGTGATACCGCTGCGCACACAGTGTTGTACAGTTCTGACAATCCTGAACCATCCCATCTCCACTGTCGATGAAAAACCGACCCTTCGTTGTTACAGCTGAGTTACCACAATTAGTGATTCTTATTCATGTGGACTGCCTTGACTGATGCTGTCATGAGATGGGCTTTGGTCAGATTTGTCTCACTTGTATAAAAGATAAAACCTGGACGCAGTGAAGTGGACAACTCACGTGAGTCAGTAAAAGGTCAAAAGGTTGTGGCAAATGAGGTTTATTAGTACAAGAGATATTCAGTTATTTCCCAGTTCACACCCTTGTATTACATGTAAATATTAAACTGAGAGAAGAAACAATGAATCCCATTAAATGCACTTGTTTGACATTCATCTTCCCTCTTCTTATTCTGCACCCTCACTGACAGTTCACCCACAGCACAGCTCACCACAACTGAATTGAAGCAAATTAATTTCTTACAAAATCAGTACTTGTATACGTTGTTTTTTTAGGTAAAAAAAAAAAAAAAAAAAAAAAAAGAAGAGCGCTTTCTTCTTCATCAGAGGGTTTTGGAGTATCGCCGCCGGACAGAATCTCTGTAGAACTGAAAGATCTTCTCTGAGGCTTTCTGACTGACTGCTATACACTGCTGCAGCTGTACAAGAACAAAAACAAGAATCAAACATCATCCTAGAAATAGGAAATGTCTGTAATATGGAGATAAAACCGAAAAAAAAACCATCTTATCGTTGACCTGAAGCAGATCGCTGACATAGCTCTACTCTAAAAGGTGGAAATTACACAGAATAAATTTGACAATGTTGCAGCGTTCCCTGGAAAATAAAATCATTCGATCTTTTATTTACTGACCTCGTGAACTGAAAACGATCCTTTGGTTAATGACATCAATACTTTGCGATCTTTACTGTCAACGGCAAAGGTCATCAAAGCTCGACTTTCCTGGTGAGAGTGAAAACGGACAAGAACAAAAATTAACAAATTCAGCGAGGATAACGGCAGCGCTGACTGTACTGAAAGAACATGCAAATACTAAGTGACAAGTTCAGTTACATATCATCCGTCTGCGATGTTTGTGTTGATCCACAAGTTATTCTGTTATAATATATTAAAGTGCAATTTCCGTTGTCAATGGTGACAACTTGTTGTTGTGTCCAACTTCGCTTTTCCCTTCCTCATCAGTTAGACCTAGAGTGTCTTTTGACATCTCCAAAAAAAAGTTTACCAGGTTTAAACAAAGTGAAATCCACAGTTTTCCAGCTGAAAGTTAGAAGGATGTTCTATTAAATGCATGAAGTGCATGAAACAAGGAACAGTCGTAAAAACCCATTTCACAATGAAATGGACTTGGAGTAGATCAACCTGTCGAAGAGCAAACACATAGGAAATTCACTAGAATAAATCAGACTGCTAGAGTATATTAAATCTGTTTTAAGGCCGTTTTTCTACAAATCCAATGCTTTTAAATGTCCTTTTTTATTCTTGAACAATAAAACTGAAGGTATCAATACAATAATATGCAAATGCCAGTCACTCCTGTCAGCGCTTACATAAGAAAATCAGCTCCTCTCAGCTGATCCTTCTTCTATGTGTGATTTATTTTGTCCCCCTGTGGTGCTTTGGGCAACACGACACAACACATGAGCCTCAGATTTACCTTCTCCTGAGCTGCAGTGGGGTCTGTGATGATTTGACCATCTGTGTCGATGGCACAGGTCACTCCACAGAACAGGCAACTCATAGGCAGACCCGCGTCCATAAGAGCCATACAGGCCGCATTCAAACAGCAGGACAAGAGCTGAGGAACAGGTAAGGAAGCACACTCACCAAGAAACCCCATCGGGACACAATCTACCAAGTTAAAATGAACTTTACAGCAAAACGCAGCACAGTTGGAAGCACTGAAGGATACCGAACCAGCATCGTGTATCACCTGAAGAATGAGAGTGAGTGAGGAGCGAGGATGAAGTGTCAGGAGCAGAGATGCCTCGCAGGTCTCTCGCACACACTGCTCTTGTGAACGCTCCCTTACACCTAGAAAATAAATACATGTTGGCATACACACTCAATTCAGACATGAAACCAACGTGCCTCACTCGTCCCACCTGGTGGTGTGTTGTGGTAAAACAAGTGGTCAGGGCTGTGAATTCAACCTTAAACCTCCTAATTTCCCCCAAAATAAGCTTCTAGAAACGTTTATTTGTGAGCTGCAGAACAATAAATGTCCCACACTGTGTTAAATATTCAAACTGAACATGTTTCATTAAGTAACACAAGTCTATCTGATGCATCTCCCAGCTCTACTCAACAGCACGTCTTTAACAAAGCTGCAAAGGGGTAGAAAATTAAAAAAATAAAGATTTAAATTGCCGCATTGGGACACACAAATCAAATAAAGCTGCACAGAGAGAAGTTATTGACTCACCTGGCAGGCCAACTTTGGGCTGAATCAACACCTCCAGAGTCGCCCGGTCATAGATTTCCTTGCTGACTTTGACCTCGGCTGGTCCGTACACTGCAGCCAACACACTCGTGTCTCCTTCACACAACAACAACAACAACAACAACAACAACAACAACAACAACAACAACAACAACAAATAACAGAAAACAGCTCGATTAATCCAGACAGCGGGGAATTTGAGTTTCACCCTAAAAGAGCAACTTAGAGTCGTTACCTTGAGTGAAGGAGGCTGAACCGTCCGGACGAGAGAGTAAACTCTGCTCACAACCAAACTCTCGAAGAGAAACACTGGAGGAGCCGCACGCCTCCATCACGCTGCTGCCGCGGTGGTCGCAGGGGGAGTGAGGTCATCTGTTTTCTTTTTTTTTTTTTTTTTTTTGGGGCCCTTACTGATGACGAGACGGAAACACTAAAATTAATCGTTATTTATTCTTTTACTTGGTTTTATTCATGGGTATAAGCATATTTATTACTTAGATTAAAAAAAAAAGTGGAGTAATAATATCTAATTTTTACCAATAGAGAACAATTAATTTTTTTTATTTTTTTTCTGATCGCGTCAGTTAGGTTACTTTATTTTGAAAGTATCTAGCGGAAGTCTTGACGAATTTAAAAGCTACAGTTTTTTTAACGTAACCACAAGATGGAAGCTAATACGCCTCATTTTTGCCTTTATCCACGTTTTTGTTGAAACTTTATTACTTAAACTAAAAAATGAGGAGTAATAGTCTCTAATTTTTACCAATAGAGAACAATTAATATTATTTTTTCATTTTTTTTTTTCTGATCGCGTCAGTTAGGTTACTTTATTTTGAAAGTTTCTAGCGGAAGTCTTGACGAATTTAACAGCTACAGTTTTTTTATATATAATATAAATTTATTTATTTATTTTTCTTATCATTTTTGAGTCATTGACAGTATATATAAGTTTTGAATGAAATGATGAAGTTGCAGGAAATAGTAAGAACGTTAAAATATATCCACAGTTGCTAGGCTACCAATCTGTGGCTTGTAGCTTTGACTAGCGGCAAAAACAGTAATATTGTTATTGATTTTAAAATATATAAAAACATAAATAATGATGTAATTACATGCCTTGTTTGTTTGGTATGATATATACCAATAAACCAGATTATCTAAAGTCATGAATCTGGTCTACGCACTGACGTAGAATACCGGAAATTACGTTTTTTTTAGAATACGCGGGAATTTGAGGATCTTTCGTTATTTATATTATCTTTTTTTTTTTTTTAATAGAAATTATATACATGGGCACGGAGGTCCTTTTGTGACTTTTCCCCCTATAAATCTGGATTTTCATTAGAAATTAAACTTAAATTTTATGTCGGTACATTTACTCAACGCAACACGTAAATGCCACGTCACTTCCGTCATGCCAGAGGATTGTGTCACGTCAGGGGCTTCCGCTCCGGGGCTGCAGCCGGATAGTGTTGCTTGTGTGTCCGATAATGGAGACATTTAAAAACAAGGTAAGCTTTGCTGCGTCCATAATGTTGCCTCGCTACCTACACAGCAAATATTCATTCAGTTTTTTACACGATTCTTAATTAACAACATTCTACCTCCCCTCCCCTCCCTTCCCCTCCCCTCCAATACTCCCAACTTTACCATTCTCCACTGTAATGTACTCCACTGCAGCCTGTCCCACACATCACCGTGCAGCCGAGGGGTGTCACACCAACACCAGAGAGATGCACCAGTTGCTGCAGTTGTGTCCACTGCCCGCTGTGCACGCCTCAGATCTTCAAACCAACAGTTTGGAGTAAGGTGCACAAACATCTCCAAGGCCATGCAAAGCGTGCAGTGCAACACAAAGGTAACTGTATTCTTTACATTCTTTAAATCTGTCATTGACCACGCAAATGCTGCATCAACATGTGGAAACAAAATGTTGTAGTTTGACATTTGAAATGCATTTCTTTTTCAGACTACACGATATTTAAATGTAATTTGGAGTGCAAGCCGACTGCACACTTCCACTGTCCCTCCTGCAAACAGTTGTTAGAAAGAAGAGACAGGTTTGTAGACCATTTGGGACAGTGTGTCCAACAAGCTGTTGAAGAGGAGCAGGAGGCCAAGGAGGAGGAGGAGCAGCAGCAGCAGCAGGTGGAGGACGAGGATGAGGAGCAGCAGCAGCAGGAGGAGGACGAGGATGAGGAGCAGCAGCAGCAGGAGGAGGACGAGGATGAGGATGGCAGGCTGGGACGTGCAGCCAACATGGCGCAGGCGTGCGGGGCGTGCGGTGAGGAGAAGTGGGCGCGAGAGCAGCTTTCTGGGCGTGCTGAAGGGTGAGAGGAGTTTTTGTGCATCTAATTAATCCAAACACTGTCAACACTGGCGCTATATGCAAAAGAAAAATGGTTTTAAACTTCCAACCAAAGTCAACTTGGCTTTTTAACAGTGATGTAACTTTGTATGTTTGCAGTTTACAGTTTATATACTGTGGTACAGTTTTGTGTTTTTGGGGTGAATTGACCCTTTTAAACCCCATCACATGTGGAGTCTACGGGTTTATTTTCTCTTCATATTGATATAAAATGTTTTATTAATCTCTAAATAAACCTTTTTCTCTCCGACTTTTGCCACAATGTGATATCTTAAACAGTTTATAGTGTTTTAAGACCAAAAAGAGTTAATTGCTGAGGCACTAACAAGTGTTTTCACAAGAGCAAGAAAGTGATGTTCAGAGCTGCAGTGATTACACAGACTCATGTAGGCAAAAGAAATTATATTATCATTATATTATGAGCTGTTTCTATCTCAGACACCACAAGTTTCCTTTTGTGGAGTCCACCATGTTTCTACAGTAGCCCAGAAAAGACAAACCTGCCTTTGTCATTGTGATGTTTTTTGTGTGAAGCGACGGACTGTAGCACTGCACCCAAAACAAATTCACCCTCTGGTACAATAAAGTTTACTCTAACAACAAAAAACAACACAGGCACAAAACTGAGCACAGTCCCAATAATACAGAATAAATAATGACAACTCAAAGTTGGTTTTTGATGTTGTAATATTGAACTTTCCCATCTTTCTCTTTAGGGACTTGCATATCACAGTGCGCAGGCGATCAGACGGCCGCATGCGTCTGGAGATGTGCAAAGAGTGCGAGCTGTACCACTGTCCCTTCTGCAAGCCGTCTGTCTACAAGCCAAAAACAGACTATGCAAGTGTTTGGACACATGTAGAAATCCACAGAATGAGGGCCTTACAACATGGAGGTCAGAATATATAGAGATCTTTCATCCAAAAGGTAATACAAACTGCTCTCCTGCGACATTATATCCACTCTGATGAATTTTGTTCTTTCTTTGCAGAGTTTAATATCCATTCGTGTCATTTGCAGTGCAGAGGAGAAAGACATTTTCACTGTCCGTACTGTGCAAGGACAATTGTAACTCGGAAACACTTTGAAAGTCATTTGCGCCAGTGTGTAAAGACGCAAAGTTCGTCAACAAAAACAACAAAGTGCATCCAGTCTGCTGCTCCGCGTGCTTCTCCTGCTCAGCCGGCGACCACAGTCGGCCAGGGTGCCATCCTCCTGCTCAACCTCACTCCCCCTTTTCAGCCAACTATCACATTGGGACAGTGTCCTGCTCCACCCAAGCCCCCTGTTAAACAAAGATCTACAGCAGACCAACATCCTGCTTCACCTGACCCTCCTGTTAAACCAAAATCTACAGCAGATCAGCGTCCTGCTACTACACCTGACCCACCTATCGGGCCTTCAACCCCGGTGGACCACCTCTCTACTTTAACAGCCAAGCCGGGTCAAATATCCAGAACAGTGCAGAGAAAAATAAAATGTCCAATGTGCAACCTCTACTTACATAAAAAGAATTTAAGGAAACATAAACTCAGGAAACACTTAAATTCTGAGAAGGACATAACAGCCAAAGACCACCTTAGAAGTCAGTGCATTGACTCTCATAACGGGGTATACGCCGTAGCAAAGTCTTACCAGGCCACCACCGTACCGGTCCACGTCATCAGAAACAGATCAGGCAGCACGCACAAAACGATGTGTGAAGAAGATCGGTGCGAGGTTATTTCAGATTTTCAAAGGCGGAGCGGTTTGCCTGATTGTCAGTGCCCTCATCTGCAGTCTGTTGATTATTGTGTTACTCATGCAAGCAGAGAAGACTTGAAACCTGCTGTGTTGGAGGAACTGGTTGCCAGTAACTGGTTTGGAAAGGAGATGGGAGTCAAGTGCCTCAACCACCGTGACCTAGCGACTCAGAACACCGCGCCGCTTGTTACTCGTGTGGACCTCGGTGGGAGTCACTGCCTGTATTTTTCCGTGTTCGAGCCCGAAGCGTCGCAGTGCTGCAAGTTGGGAAGATTATTTGTGACATACAATGTAAAGGGAAGGTTGTGGCATTGTGATTGTTCCCCAGGGACAATTACCTGCTTGCACAAATGTACAGCCCAGTGGTATCTCTTCCAAACCAACAAAGAGTTATTTACCTCAAACGCCAAACGAGACGCAGCTCTGAACATTGATGAATTAATGGAAGACTCACCTGCAGAAGCCTCCACAGAGAAGTCACCTGGAATTGTTTATCCTCGAGGAGAAGAAGGACTAAATGGACAAATAGCAAAGTACATCTACAACAACAAAAGATTGCCCTCCACGTTCCCAGAAAACATCACCCAGTTTGAAACGCACTTTTCAAAGCATCTGGTTCCAGCTGAAACTGTCTGCCAGCAGTGCCCAGGTCAGGTCTCCTTAACAGAGCCAGTGCTGATCACCAACAAAGCCACCGTGGTGACTTTAACAGGAGTGGTGGAAGGTTTGTCTCCGTACATGTATTACACTGTGGTCTTTTTGTTGTTGTTGTCCCACTTTAAGACCTCTTTTTATGTTTTCCAGATAATTCCACCTTTATCAAGAAGTGTCCAGAATGTGAAATGGTGTACCGTTACCAGGAGTGGAGCGAGGGTCTTCACAATTACAACAACCACATAATCCTGAGTCTGCAACTGTGCGTGCTTCTGCAAAACACAATTAAGGTATTTCATGAAAGAAGTCAAAATACTGAGATTGTTACCTGAACATAGGGATGTTACAATACACTTAACTCACAATTCAATACAAGTTGTTAGTGATGTGTAACGTTTCTCTACGTTATCCATCATCCATCGTTTGGAAAGTCCTCCAGTATTTGTTTTTGTGGAGTTAGAATTTATTTAGTCCGTGCACTGAACGAGACTTGTGTGATGTTACACTGTGTTGAAATAAATGAACTAAATGTTCAGTCTCCTTGCTGCTTGTTCTGACACATTCAGAGTCATTACCGGTTTTTCTGTTATCGTTTGACAGGCGGGCGTTCAAATATATATATCTATATAATTAAATTAATATCAGAAACGTGCAATTACTAGTCGAGTAGGAAAGTCTTTAGTCGGGGACAGCCCTGAATCTTTTATCAAATCATAAAATCCTCTTTTATTTTCTGAGGTAGTGTATAAACTCTCGTCTCACATATTTGAATCTTCACATATTGATATTGCGATTAAACTGTCTCCATTATTTCTTTACATTCCTGCCTGAAAATGTGAATTTCTGTCTGCTTTCATTCCTTAGAATCAGACTGCTGATGGTGGAGTGGTGGAGGTGCTGGAACAGACAACAGGTGGGAAGTCTCCGAGCGGCATCGAGGTGCTTCAGGCGTACCTCCACTTCGAAGCTCTCACAAGTCACAACTGTCCATCTGGAGTCATGATGGATCTTTATCGAAAGGGCGTTTTCAACATGGCAGGTGAGTAAATAATATTACGTTTGTTATTTCAAATCTTTAAAAGGAAGAGCTTTTCTCTTTCTGCTGCATAATAACATATTGCTGAAGTAGAATTTGTGTTTGATCTCAATCAAACCAGCAATCCACATTTATTTTTTCAGGGATTGAGGTTAAAGGTTTGCCTGAGTCCTTAACTGGAGAAGCAAATGCAGAGGAATTCTGGGATTCGGTGTGTTTGGAGATAATCACAAACGGCCTGGTTGCTCGTAAGTGTAATTTGGAGACCTGAATCTAGTTGATATTTTTACAGCTTTCAAATTTCACCTGTATTTTTTAAAGGGACAGTTCATGCAGGTGGGCGTATCTTTTTTTTAATACAGGAAGTTCTACTTACGTGCCGACCGTCGACAGTAACCTCAGAGAAGCTGCTGTCTCTGCTGTCACAACCTCCTTCACACCGACTGACAGTAAGAGGCTGAGCAAACAAAGAACAGAGGAGTGTCACAGAGCTGTTACCAGATATCTTGTGAAAGGATTGCATCCCATATCCACAGCAGAGTCGCCATGCTTTAGGTAGGTTCATGAATTAGTCGGATGCACAAATGTGATTATTTACAACCACTGATCATTTTCATTTCTGCTTTCACTCAGAGAAATGACAGAAACACTAAACCCAAAGTACCACCTGCCTTCCAGAGATCAGCTCGTGAACACGCTGATACCTTCGTGGTACGCTGCGGAGAAGAAACATGTCATCAAAGAGCTGCTTCAGGTGTCTAAGGCTGCCGTCACATGTGACTTGTGGACAAGTTTTGCCCACGAACATTACCTGACAGTCGCTTTACACTTCACGATGGAAGGCCTGAGGAAGCAGAAAGTGCTCCGTACGAAGCCGGTGTACGACGCTCAGACAGACACAGTAGTAGCAGAGCAGATAGGTGGTATACTGGAGGAGTTTGGTGTCGGAGACAGAGTTGTTGCCGTGACGGCGCATAATGCGTTCAGTATGGACATTGCCATAAAGAAGTTACAGTTTAGGAAGCTGAGATGTTTTGCCCGTGTACTTAATCTTGCTGCGCAGAAGGTGTACACCAGCAACACTGTGACCAGATGGGCATCGAATATAAGAGCTGTTGTTGTGTGGATCAAAGGGTCTTCCACAGCTCAAACTGTTCTTCAGAAGAAACAACAGCTTTTGAGTGAGTACATGATATATCTCCTTGTCTTTCTTTTATAACTGTTTCGATATATTCTGTATTTAAAAGGTTGAATGTCACTATTGTGTCTGTCTTTTAGATCTACCACAACACTCTCTGGTTCTTGACGTCCGAACACGGTGGAACTCATTGTACCTCATGGTGGAGAGGTTTGTAGAGCAGTATGCCGCCATACGGGCCGCCGTCACAGATCCACAGATCACGCAGTCCGACGAGAAGAGAAGGTAATAAAAGTTAGTAGGAAAATTAAGAGTTAAATATTATTATTTGTGTGGAAATAACATGTTTGTTGTTTTTTAATTTTACTCCATAGACTGGAAACGCCCACAGACGATGATCGCCAGAAAGCAGAGGAGTTTGTTAAGATCATGAAGCCTCTGTACACATCTGCACTCTGTGTCTCAGCTGACAAGAGTCCGACTTGTAGTCAGATATTTCCCATCCTGAAAAAACTGGAGACCCACTTTGAAACCCAGACTGAGGACACTCTGTTCACAGCCACACTGAAGGGGAAAGTCTGGGCTGACCTGTCCACATGCTACAAGGTAATGTGACCTTTACTTTTTAGAATTTTATTCTTGGTAGCCACTAACGATTATTTCATTAAGAATTAATCTGCCAACTATTTTCACTACTGATTGTTTAGTCTCTAAAATGTCAGAAAATAGTGAAAAGTATAATTTATAAAGAAAAGCAATAAAGCCTCACAAGTGAAAAACAAGAACATGGACATTTTGCTTCAAAAATCACTTTATATAGATTATAGATTAAATTTCTGTCAATTGACTAAATTATAAATCATTTCAAATCATTTCAGCTCTAACTTTGTTTAATTATCGGTGTAGAATTTCATTTAAGTATCTTTACTTCCTTGTAAAGAAGAGTGAAAAAACGTTTTAAAAATTAATTTTAACATATATTTAGACCCGGTGTCAAACAGTATCATGCAAATTAGTCGTACACTGATTTTAAATACTAGTGATGGGAAAAAGGAAGTTTTCTGAAGCATTTATGTTGATAGTGGTTCATTATTTTGAAGCCTTTTGTCAAAATGGTGATATTGTCTGGGCAATTCTTGGTTTTGCACAGGTGTTTCTATTATTTTGTCCACCTCATTCGTATCTATGACAGCTGGCTAAACAACAGAAACATCTCTCTTTATAATTCAGTAAATCAACACATCTCTCAAACAGCTTTAACAGAAACTTCATATTTATATAGGATTTATTACAGGACTGTTGTATTAGACTGCGTTCATTTTAACTTACGATACCTGATAAACTGACAGACATTTACCAAACAGTGGCTCTATAGATAAAAATGCACCAGTGGCCTCATTGACAGAGAATACAGTACGTCAGTAACAAACCTCGGCTGTGGCTCAGGAGGTAGAAGATCAAGATACTGAACCCCATATTGTGCAAAGAAAATTGTGCTAATGAGTTTCTTGAACAACAAATCCCCACAACTGAGAACTGGCTTTCCTTTTTAATCCTCTGGATCCGACATGAGAGGAGGTTTCAGTTCAGGCTCTATCCTTCGGTGTGATTGAACTCGGCTTTCTCCGTCTCGTTTTCATTCCCCACACGTTTGACCATTTAACATTCTTGTGCTTTCTTTTTAGGATGGTGATACTTGGACGTTCCTACAGGAGTCGAGCGCTATGGATCCGAGGTTCAAGAACAGAATTGACTCGGAGGAGATTTGGTACAGAGTGAAAAATGCTGCGGTTAGAGCTACAACCACAACAGAGGTGCAGTTTTCACACTTTACACCAGAGATATCTGTGCCAGCGATTGTGATATGATAAAAAAAAACCACAATTAAAATCATGATGATATGAAATTTATTGGGGTCTGTACCAAACAAACATGTTGTCTTTAATCTGGAGAACAAGATTTGTAGACCATGGCGTCTCTTCAGCACCACAGGACGTCATTATAAAGCTGCTTTGTCACACATTTCACCCCTTTTTCAAAGAATTGCAGCTTCTGCGTTTGGCCATATTGCGATTTTGACCATATTTAGATTAATTGTATCTCTAATCTGTCTCATTAGATCCCAGACTACATAGTCAAAATCTCCTCCTGACGTCAGCTGTCTCAAACACTCTCACCCATGTCAATAAATTAGGATTAAATATATTCTTTATGTGTCAAATCAGGAGGAGCACAAACCTTTGCGGGAGGACAGAGACGCCGATGACGTGTCTGACCCAACTGACCAGTATTCAGATGAGGTAATCCATCCACATGACACAAACGTTTGCCTTCATCCAACTCGTCTTGTCGACACGCTTTGCTTCGTTTTGCCAGACTTTACCCAAAAGGCCGAGGTTATCTGCCCTGGAGGAGCTTTTTGAGGAGGAGGACAGAGCTCTGAAGAGCAGCGCAGCTCCAGAAAAGACACCTTCGATACCCGAGAGAGTCCAGCAAGAGCTACAGCTGTACAGAAACCTGCCCGCGGTACCCACATCGGAGGACGCTCTGGCCTGGTGGTGGGAGAGACGAGACACGCTGCCCCTCCTGTCTCGACTCTCTAACTCATATCTGTGCATCCAAGCATCGTCGACCCCTCGTGAGAGAGTGTTTTCCACAGCGGGGGACACAATCAGCCAAGAGAGGTCACATGTTCTACCAGAGCTGGTAGATATGCAGATTTTTTTACAGAAAAATTGTTAAAAACAATTGAATCCACAATCAATATGTGCAATGCAAAAAAGGTTATTCATGAGGTATTTGTTCAAGCACTTTATTCACCGTGCAGATACAATAAAATTATGTTGATATCAACCTGGAGTTAAATCATTATTTTCACATAATGTAAAGAAAATATTTTTTATATTTGGTCACGTATGCAAAAAAAGTATTTTTGTCTAACTTGAATGTACTTTGAATAATAAAATCACTATTTCTCCTGTTGACGAATTCTACGTTTTACAAAGAATATCAGAAAGCTGAATGAGCTTTGAGTTTGTTCTCTTTCAACCTCTGTATGACCTTAATGTGTAACCAGCTAATGGTTGCTTATACTCTTCATGCAGGAGTCATTCAGCAGTTTTCACTACAATAAAATGATTTGTGAGTCAAGCAAAAGTATGCTTGAGTTGGAGATTATAGCACTCAAATCCAACCCTGGTTTAGCACCATTCTTTTGTTGTATTGGTATTAAAATCAGTACATTTCTAACAGTACTTAACCGAATTAAAGTTTCCCAAACTATCACAATTGTACTAAATACCCAGGGCTCAGACGCACTGGTTGAAACTGAATGCAGAAATTAACCTGTTCACCTCTAACACAGCTCAGTCTGACTTCTCTCTCTTCCTGGAGTTCCTGGAAGAGTTTCGTCTGTTGATCTTTATCACGTCTCCCTATTAATAAAGTTTAAAAGAGCCATAAAGATCTTAAAAACCCATGAATAAATGATGAGGCGGGCACAAGAACAGGCACTCAGTCTGTTTCAGTTTGTGCACAGATTTAATATTTAAGTCTACACATACAGGCAGATAACAGGTGAGGGTACTGATCATAATCAGAGCAGCCCTGTGTATGTCACAGTATAATAAAGTAAACACACAAACAACAATAAAAACATGGCAGCTCGGGCTATTGAAGCCAACTGGAGCAACTGTATTCAAGAGATATTGTACATTTAATATCACTGCAGGATGTTTTTAAATGTGAACAAGGTGACTGAATGAACTCTTTGTGATAAAGCAATGCGGAAAATGTTATCAGGTGCAAATAATAAAAACAAACAAACAGAAAACGAGTTTGACGGCTAAAGGTACCAAATGGTAAAGTAAAACAGGCAGGTGGGATTGTACCGGAAGTTACCTGCGTTGCCTTCAAACTAAGATAAGATAAGATATAAGAAGATATAAGATAAGATATTCCTTTATTTATCCCCCTTAGGAGAAATTCAGGTTCAATAAGGCAAAATAATGCAAAAACAGAGAAAGAATATCACAATAAAAATATTATTAATATTATTAATATTAGAAGATATAAAACTATAAAGTATATACACTATGCATTGTTCAAATAGGATATGGAGTGCAAAATATAAGCAGAAAATTAAACTTTACTAAACTAAAAAACTAAAACTAACCTAAAACTATTAAACTACTAAAGTGTAAATTAAATATAAATAGTGCAAAAGGCTTGTGCGTTGTAGGTAGGAGTTTTAAAGATGAAGGGTAAAGTAAAACAATGTTTTCTACACATTTTTATAGTTGGAAAAAAAAAAAAACATGGCCCAATTTGTAAATCAAATATAGAGTAAATAACGATTAATTTGAGATTTTAAAAAATACATATTTAGTTTAACTTTTTAAATTATGAAACTAGAGATTACCGGGGGATATTGGCAGTAGGGAACTATAATTAATTGATTATTGATGTCTAACATGAATCGTTTTTTTTTTTTTTTTTTTTAAACTCACGGTCACTGTTGAGTTTTATTTTGAAGGGCTGACCGGATGTGATCGATTACTGTCCTCTATTGCTGCTTTATGAAGATAATCGACCAGTGATTGTGGACAGCAGAGCAGCACACCGAAAGCCAATCAAACGGTGGCTGTTTTAATAAACTAATCTTTAAACTCTCCCACACATTGACTAGAGTTTAACATCCCCGTAAAGCTAGACGCCAGAGGACTTTTATTTTGTTTTTTCCAGATGGCGGCGGTGAAGACTTTGAATAAAATGTATGGATTATGTTTCCATGCTGCTCTCCAGACGACAGGACTGAAGGCATCGAGGCTGCTTCCACACAGAGCCTTCAGAGTCAGTGTAAGTCTGTAAACTAAGAGGCTACGAGCTGGTTTAAGTGTCGTTATAAGAGATAGAAAATTTAATGTTTATGTTCGGGGTCTTTTTTTTTTACCCAAGATCGCGTTCCGTCAGTTATCGCGATAGTTTGGGAGAGACAGCTAACGGGAGCTTAGCCGACAACCTTGCGGGAGAGTAACCTTAATCCTGTATTGATTCCCGAACGCGTGTGAGGTCGAAGTGGAGGTGATTTGAAGCATAATCAATATCTTTACTGACACAGGTTGAGTGGAGCCTTGTGTGTGTTGTTATGACTCTGCAGCGTTGCTATGTAGCCGGCCTGGCGACGGTTGAGCTAACGCTAGCTCCGTTCCTATTGGTCGAGCGAAGGGGCGTGAGGAGAGCACTTCCGCCCTCAAGTTCCTAATGACGTAATAATAACAACAAACGTCATGTGGAGAGAAAGTGACGTTGTTTTCTTATTTTTTATGCCCTTTTCTGAATTTTATGTGTCTTTATATCAGGTGTGTGTCACTAAAAGTCATAATTTTATTGTGTTTTTATTAAAGGAAATCATTTAGGAGTTAAAATGTATTTAATATTCTTACACATGTGTTTTCAGAGGTCAGGATATCAGCAACTATAATCTACCAATGTGGTTTATTGATAAATGAATGCATAAATAAAGGATGACAAGTCAAAAAATACATTTTAAATATTAAAGTCAAACTGGCGCACCACTTTACTGTAAGAAAATAACTTTAAATAAAAAACAAATTCACACTTGAAGTGATTTTTTTATGAGCTTTCTGTGAGGTTTTCAGTTGGCGGTATTTTTCTGGAGTCACATACAGTCTCTTTAATAGTTTCCTGTTAGTAGAGAACAATACATTCATTTTGTATATTTTAACTCCCAACATGTCTTCTTCAGCTTCTTCTTCTATTATTCTAATTCTTATTATTATTAATGTATTTATTTATATTCTTGAAAAAAAAAAAGAATTAAATCACAGATCTTACACAATCCCACAAGTTATTTTTTTTTTCCCATTCAGTGTTAACGGAGCAGCTGAAGCTTTTGTTCTTTGTAAATCGTTATGAAGAGAAAGATGAATCCCCCCTTTTGTGTTGTGAGTTTAGAGAGGGCCTTCCTTTGGCCACAGCCACAGTGCTGTTATTAATAAATAATGCTTGTATTCAATCTGTCAGGCCGCACGGCAGCAGCAGCCTTTTGACTCAACGCTGGAAAAGCCACAGTTCCCTGGAGCCTCGGCCGAGTTTGTGGATCAGCTCGAGTTCATTCAGCCCAATGTCATCTCTGGGATCCCAGTGTACCGGGTGATGGACAGGCAGGGCAATATCATCAACCCCTCTCAGGACCCTCAGGTACTGTCACCCTGCCTTCGCCCCTGGTTATTCAAACACCTCCACTCCTCACTTTATTGGGCCAAAGCTAATTTGTTTGGTGTGTTTCCTCTCTTGCCCCCAGCTCTCCAAAGAGACAGTCTTGAACTTTTATCAAAAGATGACTCTGCTGAATACAATGGACCGCATTCTTTATGAGTCTCAGAGACAGGTATGTTGTTGTTGTTGTTTCCTCATGCATTTCCTGGTGTAACCATGGAACAGCTGAAGAATGTTGTAACATGGTCTTAATTTGTCTCTGCTACAGGGTCGGATCTCCTTTTACATGACCAACTATGGTGAGGAGGGGACACACATTGGTAGTGCTGCTGCTCTTGACCCAACGGACATGGTCTTCGGTCAATACAGAGAAGCTGGTAAGGATCAGACCGCACGTGTTTCCATTTTAGATACAAGTTTACTTTTACTTTAAAGGTTTGATAGTGATTAAAACAGTTTACTTTTTACTTTTACTTTTACATCTCATTTTTGTAGTAGTTTAGCTACATTATAAGTGAGCCAGTTCTCCCTTTGGTGCACAATAATCACATGGCCGATGATATTCTAGGGAAACAATGCTTCATTCAGTCAGTGAATCCCACGACCTGTGTGCCACACACCCTATGTCACACTGTATCAGTCACTCAGGTGTTCAGTCATTCAGAAAAATCACAAAGTCAGTCTTTATTTGTACATCACGTTTTGTATTAACGGCAGCTGAAGTTCTTTACAACTAAAAATACAGCCACAAATAGACGGCGTATCTTGAACAAAATTACACATCTTTAAAAAAAAAGGGAAACAGAGAACTGATTCGTTTAGATCCAGAGTCGTAATTATTCATCACATCATAAAGAATACACTGTTCTATAATCCATTTTACCAGCAGTAGTGACCTGATTTTAAACTAGCTCAACATTCATTAACATACAACCACTTAGAAATACTTTTAATCAGAATCGGCTTTATTGCCTAGTAAGTTTTTACACGTACAAGGAATTTTTCCGTGGTGTGTTGGTGCATAAAAATCACAATGATTAAGTACTTTTTGAAATATAAATAAAAAAAAATATATAGAAATATTTAAAACTGTACAGGGAAGATATTTACACACAGCACTACTTGTGGTTCTTGTTTTATTGTTTCTGAGAGAAAAGTGTGTAAAATAGACAAAGGAGAAGGAAAACATAGCCAGTACAGCTAAAAGCCGTCTCCCCATCCATATGCCGACCTGACTGCTGTCACCGTCTGTACTCCTCCCCCCCCACCCCCCACCACTGCTTCACTCTTGTGTTGTCCATATAACCTCTCCATTAATGCCTACCCTGCAGCCTTTTGGATCACCCCTGCATTCCCTTTGACCATAATGTTCTTTTCTTGTGAGCAACAGTATCATAATTCCTATGCGGCCCTACAGGAGTGCTGATGTACCGTGGTTTCCCTCTGGATTTGTTCATGGCTCAGTGCTACGCCAACGCCGATGACCTCGGCAAGGGCCGGCAGATGCCTGTCCATTACGGCTCCAAAGACCTGAACTTTGTCACCATCTCCTCTCCTCTGGCCACTCAGATTCCTCAAGGTGAGCTGTACACCCTGTGTGTAAACCTCTCCAGCCCTTAAGGCCAATGCTTACACCTGTAAATGTACATTAATGCCTGATGTGTCTGTTTCAGCGGCTGGAGCTGCATATGCCTACAAGAGAGAAAACATGAACCGTGCTGTGATCTGTTATTTCGGAGAGGGAGCAGCCAGCGAAGGCGACGCACACGCCGGCTTCAACTTCTCTGCCACCCTCGAATGTCCACTGATATTCTTCTGTCGTAACAACGGCTACGCCATCTCTACCCCCACCAACGAGCAGTACAGGGGAGATGGCATTGGTAAGGAGCCTCGGTGCCGTAATCTGCAGAATCTGATTCGATTTGTGTGTCTGATTTATGGTCACACGTTTCATTCTTTCTCTGATTGAACAGCTGCTCGTGGTCCGGGTTATGGCATGCTGTCCATCCGTGTGGATGGTAACGATGTGTTTGCTGTGTACAATGCTACAAAGGAGGCGCGCCGCAGGGCTGTGGCTGAGAACCAGCCCTTCCTCATTGAAGCTATGACCTACAGGTTGGTTGAGTGATTCTGCATGTTCAGACCCTCGTTTAATCCCCAGTGAAGGTTTTAACTGTGCCATGATTAACATGAAAAGATATTCTGTTAAACGATCTGAATTTAACCAACTGTGAGTTCAGATCATTAAACCTGAGTACACCATTAAGCAGTTCACTGAAAGATTTTGAACTAATTACTATGTCCTCATTTTACAAACCCCAGTATGTTCTTGTAAATGAGGTCAACTGGATGATCACTGTTTGGGCAGACCTGTATGAAAGACCTGTGTGAAACTGACTAAGCAACCAGCTACTTCAGTTAAGCGGAGCTAGAGAAGGAAGCTTGGGTTTTTGGGTGTAGTATCTATTCATTGTGGGCAAACTGCTATGTGAACCACAACCATCATGCATCTGCAGTTGCCTTCAGCATTACATATAATGTGAACTGGTACTGCTGTAGTGGAAAGTCATAAACATTAAAAAAAAAGAATCCTTTTGAGCAGGTAGCGCTCATTTATTACATAAATAGAGCTAGAAAGGGACTTTTGAGGTGCAACACTGGATGTTTTCCCAGTGAGTACATAAACTGATAAAAGATGAGTCATTAAAGAGGAATTGTAAGCAAGCAGAAAATAGTTTCTCTCTTTATATCCAAAGAAACAGCAGATAAAGAACATGAACAAGCTTTTAAATCCTCCCAGCAATACGACACCCAACCCAGAAAAACAACCACACCAACAAAATACAAGGTCAACATTGAGGAACAAAAAAATGGAACAAAACGTATATCTGATCAAATACAGTTCGGGTTTTGTGGTCAGCTGCTTGCTGCACTGAGTTGTCAGTCCTTTCTATTGTGTCGCACAAGTTAAGATCAAAGGGGGGAAAAATAAGAGTGGAAAGTAAATTACAAGTGAGGACCTCGACATTTTATTCAAAATTGACCTCGTTCAGTGATATGTTGGGGAAGATAAAAGATTAGGTGATGGGTTGAGTAAGAGTAGATCTGTGAATTATACTAAAATATTAATAATACATGCACTTATCTGTAAGCTTTTCCTCCCTAAACTATACCTTGTGCATTAAAAGTTACATATTTAGGAAGGATTCACACTTTAAGTGAAGTTCTAACAAAAGGAACATTTTATGAAGAGTGAAAATGTACTCACTGTGAAAATGTTGTACTATGAAAAGCCAATTGAAGAAAAAGAATTGTGTCCACTCTTCAGAATTGGCCACCACAGCACCAGTGACGACAGCTCGGCTTACCGTTCGGTGGACGAGGTGAACTACTGGGACAAGCAGGACCATCCCATCTCCAGGCTGAGACATTACATGTCGGCCCGCAGCTGGTGGAGCGAGGACGACGAGAGGAGCTGGCGGAAGCAGTCCCGCAAGACGGTGATGGAGGCGTTCGAGAGGGCCGAGAAACGCCAGAAGCCCAATCCCGAAATGATGTTTACTGATGTGTACCAGGAGATGACGCCCAATCTGGTCAAGCAGAGAGAAGCCATGTGGAGGCACGTGCAGCAGTACAAAGAGCACTACCCACTGGACCTGTATGATAAATAAACTGCGCTGCCCGGGGATGGAACGAGTTGTGATTTGGTGAACACGTGGTAGTGGGTAAAGATTGAGACTTGGGGTAAACTGTTGGACACCTTTAACTATATTCATAAAAGTATAGTTTTGATATGATGTGTCATTTTCTTTCTGCACAACAGGGGACAGAGTGAAAAACATTGTACTTCATGCCTCTGGGTTTTGGTGCCTTAAGTTAACAGATTAACATACTGTCAGTAGTAAAGCTTCTCTGTACCCTCTCTTGTTTCACAGCAATTCCAAGATGTTGTTTCTTCTTTAAGTGGAAAAAAAAAAAAAACATCTGCTGCAGTTGGAATGGATTATGCATAAAGAAATAACACACAAATCAAGCAATAAACGGTGGAAGTTAACCTCTGTTGAGTATGCTCCTTCGCTTGTGACTGTCCTCTACAGTGATTGTGGTATTTAACAGGTTTCCTTGTGTATCATTGAGGTGACTGAATTAACTCGTGTTAAAGAACCTCCCGATGTTAATATAGTTTTAAGTGTACACACCCACATTTTAAATGGGTTTGTATGCTGTTACACACTGTTTCTCAACTCTAGAACTGTACACCCATCTAGCTCATGTTACATGTTTGGTGTTTTGTGGAAAATAAACTATTGAACTTTCAGTTGTCTTGTTTGAATTATTTATTTAAATTAAATAGGAAAGTGGGAGATTAGAGATAGAGACACGCAACAGTTTGACTGAAAGTCCTCTGTTCATCCAGGGATGGAAATATATTTCTGTCATAACAACCAGTCTTTCATAACTTCACTGGAAAGTTTCAGTCCGTTTAAAAAACCTAATTTACAATTCTTCCTGCTGCAAACAGAAACAAAAACAACGAAAAGGACAAAGATGAACGCAGATAAGCCGTGGCTCGTCTATGTCGCTGCAGTCAGTGTTTCACTCTTTCATTGCTGCATCCTTTGCCCACCAGCCCTGTTCAGCAAGTCAACAACGGGCTGTGAATGCCTCTCCACAGCTTCTTCACCTGCTGTGGGGAGCGCTGATGGATGAGAATAAGATCTTTATGTACGCACAGATTCTCACGATCCTGCTCCTTGACATCAAAGGTCTGGAAACCTGCGTGCGCCTCGGGAGAAATTCCCATAGCCTTGGTGCACATCCCAGTGTAGACGTCGTCGATGGGGAAGAAGGGTATTACGTGTGAAACTGAGTATAGGGGTTGCAGCAACGCTCCAGAGATAAGGAAACCCCCTCCACCAGCATAAGCAGGGTATGGGCCGTCATAGAAGCTCAGAGGAATGTAATACTTGCTTTTAGGGTCCCTGAGAGGATTTGCTGTGCTTATGACGTGTCCGACATACAACTTAGAGGCCTTCGAGGGCTCCAGAGACTGCAGGTAGCTGAGTAGTGCCGGTGTATTTACAAATACATCATCATCCCCACTAAAGACGAAGGAGACATGTGGACAGCGTTTCAGCGTCCACTGGAGGAACATGTTCATTTTGAGCGTAAGGTTCAAGAGGGATTCGTGGAAGTCCCACTGCAGGAGGTCCCCAAAGTGTCTTGCTTCAAAGGACAACAGTGGGTTAAGGTTGGGGTCGTCCAGCTGGGAGCTACCCAGGAGAAACAGTGTGTGTACTCTCAGTCCACTCTGATACATCCCCTCTTGCCCCCAGGTCTCACGTACCACCTGTCTCCGCTCAAAGTTTCCAGGAGTCGACTTGATGGCGAAGAGCAGGACGGTCTGGTTGTCACCTTTAGTGGAGACGCACTTGTTGGGTTGATTGATCAGGACTGGAGGGGACCTGCAGTTCATGCCTTGCAAAAAGTCCTGGAATAAGACAGGGTAGGATGTGAAGTCGTGCACGTTGGTTTGCAGAAGCTCTTGATTCGTCTCCCGGCAACGAGACCAGTCAGAGTTACGTCTGACAGTATTTCCTCTCTTGTTCAGGTTCCTGAGGGCCGAGTACAGCAGACGGTTCCAGTAGGCTCCGTTCTGAGAGATGGTCTGTCTGAGGCTGTCAGAAACGGACACGTTGTGGACGTCAGGATGAGGCGTGGCGGCGCTCTCCTGCTTCGAGGTTTGGGTTTTCACATCGCCGTCACTGTGGACCAGGAGCCTCGGATGCCTCAGGAAGTCCTCTGGTCCCGCCTTGTGACCGGAGGTCGTCTCTAGATGAAGGGTCGAGTAAAAAAAAATCAGAAATAAAGTAACGAGGAGAACCATAGCAGTCATGGTTTGAATCCGCCTCATTGGCTCGAGGTAAGTAAACCAAGCTGTGTGGTGTGTCGTTCCTAGAGATGGATCCTGTTTCAGGGGGTAATGGTCCTGGAACCTGGTGTGTTATTGTCCTCAGGTTACAGAGACTCTGCCAGCAGGTGATACACTGGATGTACCTGCCAACAGTAAACATACAGAGCTGACACCTTAATGTACATCAACACATCAGAAACTTCACATCTGTGAGCAGACTTAAACCTCAATGTAAAATTAACATTTGGCATTTTATATTCTAGATTTTTATTCTATTATTAGTTTATTTTTAAGTGTAATATTTAATGCAAATTGTGAATTATACTTCTAAATGTCCTGTTGTCAAACCACTTTAAGAGCTTTTATTGGAAGAATACCTGTTGTTTTAGTTTGAAATAATGCACATAGATTTTTATATTACCATCCTCTGACATGCTGAGGACACTACCATGTCGACACTGACATATTATCAAGCAAAAACACAACTAATTGATCTAATTAGTTCAAGGTAACATTGTTTGCAACTTTGCTGGTAGAGAACAAAAATAACTCCAATCTGCTTTCAGTGCTGCTGTGTACAGTTTCCAGCTCCAGTGTAGATATATTTTAACAAACAGTGCAGATGCTACCTGAACCTGCCGCATGTGGTCTGCAGCGGCACTCTGTTGGGAGTCCATCCATCTCTCCGGTGTTTAATTAGAAGCAACCCGGCTTCGTACAAATAACAGAGGAGAACAGTCCTGAGGGGCCTCGCTGATTAAACAGCACCACATTAAATTCAGAGAACATCTGAGAGCAATGGCTTTAAGGAGAAGACAGAAACATGACATGCATATTGCATCTTGTACCTTATAACATCGCTCACGTACAGATATCCATCTGGACCATATTCCACTTTATTGTATATTATGTATATATTTTTATATTACAGATTTGTATTATATTCTTATTTTATTGTAATTGTTTGACATGTTTCTGCTCTTTGCTCTACCTTCCCCCTGAGCTGTTGTGAGAGATCAATAAACGTCTCATCTTTGCCACGTTGTATTTACGTTTATGCTTATCCCATTGAAGTATGATTAGATTAAAGTATCGATAAACCTGCCTGGACTATGCAAACGAGGGCGCAGAGCTAGAAAAACGGAGCGCCGGGTGAGACCTTTAACCTGGAGATTAAAGGGGTCAAACCAGTCACATTGAAGTTAATGTAACATTAAAAATAAAGTACTTACTGAACCCAGGATGAACGCACACCGAGCAGAGTCTGCAGCGGTCTCCGGTACAGTGCCTTCTGATCCTACCGGCCGGCGACTGGGTGCAGGAAACCGCATCATTTACTTTATTAACCCCATAGTTTTCTTAAAGAGGAAATCGAAACAGCCGATGTGAGCTCATTCAGTGACAGTCTGTACATAGGGGGTCAGCTGATCACTTCACACAGCAGAGCAGGCAGGAGGAGGCCACGCCCAGGATGCTGTGCGTCTGAGACAGGTTTATTCAAATGTTTGACAGGAAACATCAATGATATACAAATTCTTTAAGACATTATTAGGAGGGTACATGAGCACAGTGTTTAGATCAATAAAGCTCCTTTTTTTTTCTTCCATGTATTGCATCTCCTGCAGGCGTTATTTATTTTATTCTTTTTTTTAAAAATGCACTTTTTTTTCTCCAGCCTGGTTATTTATGACAGAAAAACAACAAAAATCTGACAATCACCAAAAAAAAAAAAAAAAAAAACAGTTGAGAAATAACTCCTATACAGTGGAAAACTGCTGCTCTAGTTTTCTCATCCTTAAACCATGCAATTGTTTATAAAGGTGATGGGCTTCTTTCACCTTCTTATTGTGGAATAAAAGCACTTTAAATGGAAATGACAAAAACAATTAGCAAATTAATTTGATAATGCTTCTAAAAGTATGATTTTTTTTTTTTTTTTTTTTATCCCCATCAAATGTAGCAGTTCACATCCTGAGAACTTCGCAGTGTAAGGCAGAGGGGGTATTTTGCCGTTGAAAAACCTCAGAAACTCTTGGCCTCTCTGCTTGGAGAGGAGCTCCGCAGCTGAGATGATGTGCTGTTTAATTAGAGGTGCCCTGATGTGACCGACAGTATACTCGAGCACTCAAAAGTACCAAAAATCTACGCGAGTGCTTCGGTCTGTACTGACATTTTGGTCAGTTTACGTTTATTTGAAGCACATCCTGGAAAATAGATTTTATAGATGTTAGTAAATTGGCGTCCTCTCATCCATTTTATAAGAAGAAAAATAAAACCTTTGTATATATAAGTGTGCTGGTATGAATATTTGGTATTGGGGCCCTTTATGAATATTTCAACTAATACTGGACCAATACCTGTATCATAACAATATACAACTAACATACTATGTGCAGTGTGCACTCAGGAAAATAGTGTTCATACCTATAAAGACCATAATTATTTTTGGAGAGGAGCAGATTAAAAAAGGCAAGAAACAATACTGCAGATGGTAGGAAAGAAAACACAGTATCTGTGCAGGAATATAAGGTCTAATGGTCAAAAAGGTTAAGATTGCTTCTATGGAAGTGAGAGGCTCAAGGCAAAAAGAAGGATGCAAGTCGGTTGTTGAGGGCTTGATGAGGGGAAGCGGGAAAGGAAGTCAGCGAAGGTCGCTCTCCTCGTCCTGTATGGTTTTCTTGATGCGGAGAAGCATGGTAGTGAGCCACTGGTCCAACCGTGAAATGGTGTCAAACTCCTTCACCTGATTAATAAGTAGTAAAAAGGTCAGATCGGACTGGGGTCACATTTTTATTACCACATATAAAATGAATAGAACAAAACAATATTTGAATATTCAGTGGGTTTTAAACACACAGCAGCTTGTTGACTTGAACAGTTTGTGTCAAGAAATAGAAATTCTGATTCAAATGGGATACAAAGAATGTCTTTATGTATTTATCAAGACTTATATTTCCTTATCCTTTGCTTTTATTCTTCCCAACACATCAAAGGTATTCATTTTGTAGTCACCCTGTCGGACACTAAAGCCTATAGACCATTCCCCTCCTCACGACATTAAGTCAAAAAATATAACTTGGAAGATTATTATTCATACATGTCATTTTTTCTAGTTGTTTTATATAAATTTAAACCATAATATACAATTAAATGTATTTTGTTTGCCTTAAAACTATTATACAATCCATTGATAAGAAGAGAGCAGGTTTCAGGCCTTCATATGTTGTTTGGCAGCGAACAACGACGATGATATAAAAATGTATAGAAACTTTTTTTGTTCAGTATGATGCTAGTAATTGAAAATGTTCAGAATATTATGCTTTCTTGCTGTACTTGAACACTGAGGAAGGCTTTCCTATGAGGTAACAGTACCATCAGTGGCCCACCGTACAACACTGATAACTAAACTTACTGCTGCAGATAAACCGCTCAGAGTCGGCTACATGCCGACATTCTGCTGACAGATAACTGTCCACTCACCGAGTCGGTATAGGCATCCACGTTCTGTTCTTCACACGCATCTAGAAGTTTCTGGTTAGAGAAAGAAAGAAAGAGGCTGCTCAACACAAAAATACACACAGGGAGGTTAAAGAAGACAACAAGCTATAAACATGCATGCCTGAAGGCATTGCAGAATCAATTATTACTCCCATAGCTTTTAAACAACTGCACGGCTTTCTTACTCCAACCAGAATTGCTGGAAACAGGCCTTAACTGTACTAAGCTGACTGGTGCTTTTGTTATATGATGCTGGGGGGGGTTGATGTTGGGAAACATTTTACATAAGGCTAATTACAATCCAACTTTTGTTTTTGATTTCCAGCATGTAGATGTTAATGCAAGGTCAAACACAGACGGCAGAAGGAAGCAAATATCTCAGCTTTCCATCAGCGTCTACGTCTAGAGGATCATTCAGTGTTTTTGTGTGAGGATTTTAGAGCCAAAATAACACAACCTACCTTCACCAGCTTGCATTCTCGAGAGTCTGAAAAGGCCGGAAACATTTCTTCGTACTTCTGCACAGCAAGCTGGGAGACAAGCAGATGAACATTAGGACAAAGGCCTGTGTTACACTTTCTGTACATGGAGACAAGTTCTGTGTTTATGGGCCTTACTTTTGCATTCAGCATGTCTACACAGAAGTGACACAGCGCTGCCTTGAAGAAGTGATCTTTGGCACTGTATTTCAGGAGCGTACTGTCCATTGCATGGGTTCCAACCTGAAATCAAAAAATTCATGTTTGTTTTGTTACTACAGCCCCCGAAGCAACTGATAACATGTTGAGATAAAAGGTAGTGCATCACACCTGTTCATAGATCTCAATCGCCTTTGGATACTGCTCCAGCTGAGCTGCATAGGTTGCTACTTTCAGAAGGCACTTATTTGCTGAACTGCAAAGGAAAATCGAGAAGCTTCTCAGTCCACACGCATTCACAGAGAGGTCAAAGATCACCACGTAACTTGGACGTAAAATAAAAACATTGCTCATTTAAAATAGTCACCTGGTGGATTCTTCACCTTTGTAATAATCTGCTGCCTGTTCATAATGAGCAATTGCCTGGAACGGAAATTGAACAGCACAGTTAACAAGAGATTATTTGACAGTTTAACACAATTAAATTAAAAGCCCTGGAATTAATACATAAAACAATAAACTTTAAACAAATATTTGATCTAACCTTGTCGATGTCCACCAGCTCTGTCTCATATATTTCAGCAATGCTGATGTGGTGTTTCGCTGCGATGGTGAAGCGTCCCTAAAACCGAAAAAACAAAAAGAGAAGAGATCAACAGGAAGTTTTGGGAGATGCTAAACATAAAAAGGCTTTTTCAAATTCATTTAAGTAGAGTTTCCTGTTCATAGACTCACCATATCGGTGTAAATCTCAATAGCTCGGTTTAGGCAGTTTATGGCCTCTGTTGAGATAAATGATAATATCTTAACACGACAAGACCACATTATTGCAATTATTCAGTGAATTCACGTCAATAAAAAGGACAAAGTTAGAAAAGATTCAGAAGACGAAAGTCCATTTAACAATGGTCCTGTTTAACTTGCTGTTACAGCTCTTTATCTGACATTAAATGACACTGGCTTTGCGTACATGCTCCACTCGAACTGGCAGAGCAGCTTGTAAAATGGGAACTTCAGCAGCCACAGGTGGTAATGAGTAATGATTACCTTGTGGATCGGCTTTTTTGAAAGCATTTCCAGCATCTATGAAGTTAGTCGCCGCATCGTGTTTGCTCTGCATCTGAAGGTGAAGGCGAGCGGCTTGGGAGAACGCGTTCCCCGCAGCTGAAACAAAGACATGTTTCACGTTAAGAGGACTGAACATTTTAACAGACCCTAAACAAGGAGAAAAGGGAATCTTTACGCTTGTTCATTCAACCTGTAATAATCATTCTTACCACACCAGTTTTTGGCCATTTTGTACATGTTGGCTGCCCTCACATACATGTCACAGGCCTCTTCCGTCTTGGAGGAACCCCTGTGTGACAGCACACGTGTTTGGTTAGAGACTCACATGTGCCATTATACTTTGAAATTAAAAACTAGATACTCATAATATAAGGATATTTCGGGGCATGCCACATGCTGTTCACTCAGCTAAAGTTTCAAAAAGTTATATAATTTAACTCCCAATTGCAATTATTGTGCAAAATAATGACACCAAACTGGGCTGGGTAATAATTCAATGTAATTGTTTACTTCATTTCAGAGGATTCGTATTATGACAAACACATTGTTTTTGTGTTTTCAAACTGAATGATTATCAAATCAAAGTAGTTATTAGTGTTTTGTTTTAAATAAGATCCAATTATATAAACCCTTGCATCTCTAAGCTTTACTAAACCCACTCTGACACTAATTCCTACTAATATTTGACATTTCGTGGGTGTTTTTTTCAAGTTAGTTTGACGTTGTGACTCAAATAGAAAACTCACACTAATCTTCAAAGCCAGTTGTGGATTGCTATTTGGTGCTCAGCTGTGTTTTTGGTGGCTCAACTTACTCACTCTGATGCAGGTGACACACTCCTACCTCACTGTCAGTGTAAACAAATGTGGTGGACATGTGACAACCCAAAAAACACACACAGTGAACCCTTACAAAGAGCCTCCGGTGGGTGGCGCTGTAGCTGCAAACACATTAACGCTCATTTAATGTCACACTCATTAGCACCCTGATTTAATATAAAAGCCATCCTGATACAGAAGCGGGGGGGAGGTTGTGCAGCTGAGCCCTCATTTAATGTTGTTTTATAGCTTTTATTTTATATTTAATGACTCGCAGCTGTGCTCCGCAGTGAGCTGAACGAAAACCAACAACACAACAACGTTAAACAACTCTCCTAGGAGCATTAATGACAACAACGCAAACGTGTTACAGTGGCGTTTATTATTAAAACAAAACAAAAAAAAAAAAAAAGGACGTGTTTTTTTTTAATTCCGCCACCTTCCGGTTAGGTGGCCCTTTTAGCTTTAGCTTTAGCTCACCCAAACAGCGCTCCGAAGAACGACGTCGACGACTTCATTTTCTTTTCAGCCTCGGCGATGAGAGCCATCGCTTCCTTTTCTTTCCCGCTGTTGTCCATTTTCGGCGTCACTGTGTCGGTGATTTCGAGGGGAAACCGCGTCGGTAGTCGACAGACGTGCTAACCAGCGCTAGCAGCTTCGGGGCTCGTCTTGTCACGTCACCGGCCGCGAGTAACCGTCACCTACGTCACGTGACACGGGAGCAGTTGAACGACCTGCTGCTGCGTTCAAGTGCGCTAGGTCAATTCCAGCTTCCTTCCGCTCCGATAGTGGTCCCGGTTGTTCTCAGTCGGGGGATTAAAAAAAAAAAAAACATAACGTGAGGATGTCATTTTAGTGTTGTTAGAATCATAATTACATTTATAAACACTAAAGATTTTAATAGACTGTCAAACAACATCTCAGTTGTGTTATTTATCTCTTCGACACCACATAATGGTAATATTTCTGACAACACGTGAAGGCATCTCATGGTTATCTTATTATGATATAATAAGATAAATTATAATAAATTATGATAAATTAATGGCCCATACAGAATAATGTTGGTCTTATAGCTGACTCTTTTACTTGGTTATCTAACTAATTTAAGCATTGCACAAATTCCTTACTACAAACACAAAAACATTCCCTCTAATGAACATCAGACCCACATACATACATCCATTAGTTATTATTTGATTATCCTTTGAAAGGTTCTGGTGTGCTAGAGCCGATCCCAGCTGACCAATCACCAGTCAGTCACAGAGCTAAAACATTGAGACAGACTTCCCACATTTACACTTAATGTCTTTGGGCAGTAAGAGAAGAACTTTCACACCAAAAAAACCTTCTTGCTGTGTATATTATTCAAGTTATCCTATTAAGCTTACAGCCTACATATCATAATGATTATTTAAATAATTTTAAATATTTTTTTTTCTCCTCTCAGGATGCTAATTAACTCTGCTGTAATTAATCTTTAGGAGTTTAGTCTGCATGCAGCAAGCACTGCTGCCATGTAAACAGGGTAAAGAAAGAGTTTATTCATTTATTATACACCAATATTTTCCCTGCAGCCTGTTCAGGGATTCATAACACAAACTTTTTGACTTACTTTTACTGATCTCTATTTCTTAAGTCCTGCCATATGCCTGCAGCTGAGCAGAACTGAGATGACTACAAAGCACTTGCTTGACGTTTAAGGATATTTTGTGATTTTAATAAACCCTTTTTGTCAGCTGTGGCACTTTTTAAACGACAATAACAATATTTCAGTCTTATGTAATTCGTTGGTTTTGCTCCTCCATGCAGCGACACTCACATTACATAATATTTAGGCTGTATGAAATGTGAAATAAAGTCACCTTCTAGTGGTTTAGTGGTCCTCTCATGCCTAAAAAGAGGAACTTTACAACAACACAGTTCTGCTGATCAGCAAAGCATTCCCAAAACATGACACTATTGTCGTATACACAATCTTACACAAGTCATAATGTCTAAAACGTTCCCGCTGTGATATATCTGACCAGCTTGTTCCCAGTTTTACTCGCAGCAGTGGTTTCTGTCAGACAAACTGCAGACTGTTAGTTCTCGGATGATTGTAAGCGTTGCGATGAGCTTCACAGCCAATAGGGAGGTAGAGTCATATGAGTAAAGTCCCCAAACTTCCCATGTCCCAAACTGTGAGGAGGTTTCATATGCAGGACTGAAAGTAATTCATGAAGCACTGCAACGCAGGACCATGAAATGTAAATGTAAATAGTGAAATAATGATATATGTATTTTACATTAAATGAATCGGTATTTGAATTAATTAATGACACATTTAATATCACATTCATGTATTTCATTCCAATTTTAATTAATTAATGACACATTTAAGTAATTATTTAATGGTGTATTTATTTATTTAATTGTGGCACTTTCAGTCCTCCATAGTTTCACAAAAACACAAACAATTCAATTAACAGTGCTGGTCAGAAACATTTGTGTGCACGCCTCTCTGATGATAAATGTATTATTTTAAGGGACACTCCAGACACCCAGTTGGTCACCAACCATATCAGACATTCATTACTTACTGAGTATTGTTAGTTATTTATTTTTTATCTCACACTTCACTTCGTTCAAATCTATTTTTAAAAAAAAAGAGAAAAAAAAGCAATTTTGTATCAAATCTTTTTTTTTTTAACAAAAACAAAAATAAAGTAAAAATAAACTACCACACACACACACACACGAAACACAGATTTCAATCAGGCGAAAACAAAAGTCTCCTGTTTCCTGCCTGTAGTCGGGTCCTGTACAGCAGCCCGTGCGAGGCCGTCCTGGAGACCCCGCGCTGCCTGCACCTCTATCGTCTCGGGTGAGTTTGTTACATTGTAGCATTTTCTCCATTAATCCGTAAAACTGTAACAAAGCTGCGATATTCGCGCAGTGCAGCGACCCGCTACCTGCACAGCTACGGCGGTCGAGACGCCCCCACTTGCAGCACGACCCGGCAAAACACATAGTCTTTTTTTTTTTCCCACCTTAAAATTCCCAAGCATACCAACCACCCCCCCCTCTCTCTCTCTCTCCGCTTCATCCAAGAGTATTCCAACATTAACTCATATTTTGCTTGCAAGGAGAGATAGATAGCTCGCTACGCAACTGCGTTTACACTTCACAAACACACGTTTCCGCGTCGTCTCGGTTGAATCGAGGGGGCCGCCGTGCCGTGGGGGGGTTAAATTTGTGCCACTCGGTGGTTTGTTTTGAATGTCAAAGGCTCAAGCTAGCTGTACGTCTGAATATTGTTGATAGCTGGTTTTTGGCTAAGCAGGCTAGCTGGCTAAAGGGGGAGGAGGAGGAGGGGGGAGGGAGGAGGGAGGAGGGGGGGGTGTGCTAACGAAATTCAACCCAGATGCATCAAAATGCTGGAAGCAAGAGGCGAAAAGCCGGGGTTTGAAATCAGACGTTTTATGAGATTAGGGTGTTAAGTGAGTCGCGTTGCAGGTAAACGCTGTGCGCTGCAACCGATCGAGAAACTATGCATGCAAAAGCTTTCTGTAAAACACCAGCTAGCATGTAGCAAGCCGCTTGCAGTGTCTCCATTCATATCCTGCGCACTGGTTCTGGTCTGACCGAGTAATGGCTACGATCCGCTGCCTTTGTAGAGCGGCAACTGAGGGGGATACGTGCCCCCTCCTTTCATAACCGCGGATAAACAATCTCTCTTGAGTGGACATTTTTTTGTTGTTGTTGTTGTTGTTGTTTTGTTTGTGTTAACGCACAAGTGGAGGAGACTTGAGGAGCCCCGCACTGGATAATCTTTCCAGGCTGCGTGAAAACCGCGCGTTTTCAGTTTGTTGTGTGTTGCCATCCGCTGATTCTCGGTGTGTAAGCAGACATATATGTGCTGTTTGACCTCTAGACGAGTTTCTTAAAAGGCTTTAATTACATAAGATGAAACCACGGCGTGTTTTTATAAGGTGGTGTTTTTTAATGTGGTTTAAGAGTGTAAACTTTATTTGGGAGCTGTAGAACTTTATTATAATTGTTGATGTAGTGGTTGAAGTCCTGCAGCCTTTTAATAAATCCCTCTGTTTGCTTTATTCTCACTATATGAAAGAGAAAAAAAAACCCCAGCAAGCCTCAGAGATGTCAGACAGCAATATGTGATGTAATGTTTTGAGTCATCAGTCATAATTTGATTTGTGAGATTTAAAAAAAAAAAAAAAAAAAATACGGTTTTCAGCAAACAAATCTAGACTTGTAGCTCAGCAAATGTACTTCATGTTTCTATATTTGGTCTGCGGTCGGACAATTAGTGATTAAAGTGATTTTATAATGAAAGCTAAAATCAGTTTGAAGCAGGTTTAAGGCTTCATGCTGCACTTAACCAACCGTATACTATCTAAGAGAGATTAACAACCTTAATTAAAAGTTATTTTGAACATAACTTACTCTCGTGTGATATGTTGTAAAGTCTAGAGTAAGTTTGGGATGTTTATTTTTTTGTACAGCATCACCGCAGCAACAGAAAGAGCTTTATTTCCTCTAAGGACCATTAATGCTCAAATAGTGTGATCGTGAGATTGTGCAGAGCTTTGCTGAATGAATTCAACAAATGTCATTTTATTTTTTTTTTGGCTATAAAATGATTGTTAATCATGAATAACCACACGGAGGCTCTTTTTAGCTTTTGTAATTGTTCTTCACACTGTCAAAATACGATTATAAATCATCACTCAAACCTCACTGTACCACAAAATAACAATATAAAGCGAGGACATGATACAATATGGTGTTATAATAATAAAAATGTAACTGTGTAGGCATAGTTAGTTTGCAGAAAGGGCCCTTTGTTTTGATAATAAAACGAAACGTGAGTGGACTTTGAAACCCTTTTTCGTCTTTAACAGTTGTCATGGATGATGAAGACGGCAGGTGCCTTCTAGATGTAATTTGGTAAGTCTTTAAGTCCGTCTTACATTCAACAAACTGTTCATCCTTCTTCTTTTGAGCTTCGTCTCGTACTCTTGTGAATCACATTGTTTTCGTCCCGCAGTGACCCAGAAGCTCTCAATGACTTTCTTCATGGATCTGAGACCCATGTGAGTATGACGGGAAATAGAAGTGAAAGAAGACGTGTTCGGCTCGTGGTTTTTAGTTAGAAACATGGGATGCAGCGAGGAGTCTTTATGTGCGTTATTAAGTCGGGGATTCGCGAGACTCATGTAGTTAAATTACTTCAGATTACACGTTGATGCACTCTGAAACCCTCGTCCCTCACTGCTTTCATTTATTTTGTTTTTATTTTACTGCTTCCTCTGCCTAATGGTCGTCTTTGCTTTTTGATTGCACTATTTATGGTTTCACCTTGCCTTCCCTTTTTATTAGGCTAATTCACAAAATGAGAAACGCTAATACTAACGCTTCCCAACTCTGTGTTATTCCTATCACTTTGCCCCTCTACTGCTTGTTAGGGTTGGGCGATATTTTTCTGGCCACCATCAGTACAACCATACACCTTCTGAATTCAAGTTTCTCTCTTACTGATCTGAGAGTATCGTAAAACACACTTCATATTCAAACACATATAAAAAACCAACCCAAAAACCGTTAATTGGTTAATATTTCCACTGTTCCGACATTCACCAACTCTGTTTTGGTCGAAATTAACTCTTAATTCACTGAGTTTAATGTGAAAATATTCTGGCTCTA